TAACGTAATTTAATATAGGCTTAAAAATATAAATATTTTATTAATAAATAATTTACCAAAAATGTATTTTTCTTATTATTCTTTATTAAAACTAAACTATAGATTTGTCTTTAATTTTTTTTTCGTTTATTCTTAAATATACCCATAATAATTGAGAATATCGAGTATAAAAAGGTCAATTTATTATGTTACCTAAGTCTGATTTATAATATTTTTAAGTACTTTGAACTGTATTTATTTATTTTTGCTATATATTCTTAAGTAAGTAGATTAAATATGAGGTCTAAAGTATATTAAAAGTTTGGGTTTATTTTAAATAACTAAAGTAATATTAATCATTTATTTAATTTAATATTGATTTTAATCAGTGTACCTAATAAATTTTGATTAAATTTGGACGTAAAAATCGTAGAATATAATGAATAATATTTAATATGTGTAAAGTCCATAAAGAATGAATAAAGATAAGAACTGCTGAATTTAAATACATTTTAATCTTATTAAAGATAAAATTACAGACTTACAATAGTTAGGTAATAAGTTATAACTAAAGTTTATTTGTATATGAACAGAAAATTTGTAATTTTCATAGTTTCGTTGAATAGTTAATTAAAAGTGATTAACCGACAAATTTCAATCATAGCTTAAAAAATACAATTTTGTTAGTCATAATTATTCTTATTTTCTTGTTGTTATATAGAAATAAGTAAAAGTATTAAATAACTATTTCTTAATTTTATGTGATACTTATAATGTAAATTATTAATATATTAGTTATAATTTTAATTTGTATCAAATTTATTGTAATTTAATAATTTAGTGTTATATTTAATATTTAGTGTACATTTTTCATATGAGTATTTAATAAACATTAGACACTAAAGATAACCATGGTTTTACATATAGTATAAAGTATATGTAATATTCAGTCTAGTGTTTAGTATACTTAAATAACTTTATAAATAAGTAATCAAATATTAATATTATATATTATAATTTAGTCCCTATTTCTTAAGAATCAGTTGAGATTATTCTAAAATAAAATAATTTTAGATAGGTACTTATTATTTTGAAAATTGTATTTTACTGAAAATGAATTCATTCTATTTTCCATTAAGTACGTATTTTATTAGAAAAAACATTTGTACTTAATGCATAATGAGCCACCAAGCAGATGCGTTATATTATATTTAGGAGCTATTTATACATATACTATAATATTAAACATAATATTATATAGTATAAAATATAATGTGGATGTATTGATTCACTTTATTTTTCCCTACCTTCAAATAAGTTTGATGTATAAATTTATTTAAAACATTTCATTTAATAAATTATAAACAAATTTTTACTTGTGTTTGCAAAAAGCTTCTAGCTTGGTCTGCCTTTGATGCGATTTCGTATTTTTTGTACAAAGCGTTCAAGTCCAAGGCAAATTTATCGTCATCTGTGGTCAGTTTTGAAAATTCTTTTAACATAGTTGATCCAGTTCCTAGGATTGTGTTGATAAGTTCATTATCATGGTCATCCTAAAATATCAATATTTTTTTAAATATATACTACATACTTACTTAAAAATTTTACTATATTTAAATAAATAATCTAAGATAAATAAAAAAAATTAAGTATAATACTATTATTTCCAATATATTTACCTTGGCATATGACATGACACCAGTCATTAGGAAACAGACCAAAATTATTTTTGCCAACATTGTGTTATTTTTTAATACAAAAGAAGTAACTTGTATCTCTTAGTGTTCAGAAGCAAATGTAAAGTTATACATGAATAGATCATTGATCAAATTTCCACTAAATTCTCCTTCTTTTATGACCTTTAAGAATATGCATTTAAATTATTCATTAAGATAAAAATAGATATGCTTTTAATTATACATTCAAAAGTAAATGTAACTTATTAGTTTTTTATGCGTTTAATTATTTAATGTTTCGAGTGATTTGTTATCGGTGAAATTTGGACTGTAATGTTTTTTGACCCGTGTCAAAAACTACTTTCAATTAATATTATGTATCATACTATACACCACTCTGGTAAATTATTATAACACAATGAAAATTAAATGATTCGATTTTATAAGATAAAATAATAAATAATATATTAATTTTATACACTTTTATATTCAATACATCTATACTTAATAATATATTAAGTATTTTAATAACTACCTACGTAATAATGTTTAGTTAAAATCTTGATAGAAACAAAAATTACTCTTTAATATACTGTAATTGTATATATATATTCTATATATTTTATTTTACTATTAAATTACAACATACAATAAGTTCTAAATTATGGGTTGGTTTTATGAGTTGTTTTTTTTCTTAAATGAGGAGAGTTAAAATTAAATAGAAACAATTCAAAACATTTTATTCAAAACTCTATGAATTTTAATTCCAAAGATAAACTCAAAATTACAAACAAATTTTAAATGAAGTTCTATAACCTACATCACCTAATTGTGTGCAGTTTGGTAAAGTGGTATGTAAGTTGATAAGGGGAGGGTGATGACTTCATACGTAAATTGAAAATTCAAACTTTGACAAAATTATATTTTAAAACGTAGTATATACGATTTATTCTTTAACAACTGTAAGCACTTAATTGCATTTAAAAAATAATAATCACAGAATCTTGAAACATAATTTATATTTTTGATATTCTCTCAAAAATTGGCATACAAATAATTAAAATACTAATTATACTAATGAATAAATAAATAAATTCTAAAATATCCTTAAAAATCAGAGTATTACTCATAGTTTCTAATTAGAAAGTTTTATAGCGTATACAATTATTTACTATTTGAAATTTAATACATTGATATACCTATTCTTTAACAAAGTATTCTTAAAATCTATTATACGAAGTTAGTTACTCAGTTTTTTTTTATTTTAGGTACAAAAAAAAAAAAAAAAATGGCTGTAAGGTATTTATTTTGCGTTATGTTAAACATCATTAGAAGTTAAGCTTTTTCTTAAATATAGATTTGTGATTAAAGTAATCTAAGACTCTTAATAAATTAAGTTTATTGAGTTAGATTGTAATATTATATACCAAATAATTAAGGTTGTCAACCGGTCGGTAATTCACTTCGATAGACTTAAAAAGTCGGTTGCCGGTATTTCCAATTAATAGCTTCAATGAGAGATCAATATAAATTTTATAAAAGTATATTTTATAATCTTAATAAAATTGGTTATTTGTTAATAAATCGTATTATCTTAATGACTTGTATATATGTCTATATAGGTAGTTGTGTGTGTTGACCATCAACTTTGATATTATTGTGTGTAGTATTTGATAGACCTTAGACTGATAGAGTTTCGTGTTCAGTCTCGCTTTAAATTTTGTACATAGTATACGAGTATATACTATATAATTACATTCATTTTAAAAATAAATAAAAGACAAAATAGAATCCATAATTGTGAAATCAAATATTAAATAAAAATCCACGGAAGATTTACTAACCTTTATATTTAATCTCATAGGCAAAAATTTTCAAATAAAAAGTTTGAAAAGTTATTAACTTTAATACCCTAACACAAATATATATAAATATATTGTCTTTTTTAATTTTTAATTTATAAAATATTTTTAAATTCAACACAGTTCATTTATTTAGACTCAAATTAAAATTCATTTTTAATTAAATATAATATAATTATAGTGATAAAAGATCTATATAATTTAATTTTAATTTGTGTTTGAAACTCATAATACATTATAAAATAAATTATTATGATTTTTTTTTATCATTAAAAGCATTTTAACATGTTTATAAAGGCCATCGTCTGATTAGATATAGTAATTTAATAGATTATATTTTTGTACACAAACACATAATTCCATAGTTCATACTTTATTAACCTTCTTAATTATTACCATTATATAATGATGAATCGAAAAACATAGCAATTGTCTTTATTTTTTAATATTTTTGAAGTTTATATTGAAATAAATTTGTAAATTTTTTTTAAACTTTCATACGTCTGATAATGCCAATAAGCATATTTTAATGATCAAATTTGTTTTGGTTTGATCTCAAAAGTAATATAAATAAATATTATTTTACAATATTTTTATAAATTTTAATTTAGTAACATAATAATATGAAAATTTGATAATCGTGACATTTTTAAATTTTTTTTAGAATACATTAACTCCACTTCATATTAGAGCAAATGCACTAAAATTTATTTAATATCCTATTACGCTGTATTGTTTCTAAATTATTAATATCTTTATAATAATAAATAATTTAAATTGTGTAAATTAATTTTTAGGTCGATAAAACATTTAAAAACTTTCAAAAATTTCATTCGTTAAAAATCATTGTTTCATTATTCAAATATTCATTAATATTTTTAACAATTTTTTTGTTTCCTGTTATACCGTTAATAGCGTAAACGCTTGCTCATAAAAAGTATAACACATATGTCGATTAAATTAAACAATGTCTGTATATCACCTTCATTCGTCATTAAGTTTATCACGAATATTGTGTGAATTTTTTTTTTCATAATGATTTATTTCCTATTTAATTAACTGAAGTTCACGTTTTGTTAGGTATTCAATAACTCACGCGATTAGAAATTTTCTAATTAAAGTATAGGTAAACATACAATTTGTAATAAGTATAATAACATCAGGATGAAACAAATAACAATATTTATCGAGTTCTTGTTAATCATATTATTACGTATTCAATATATAAACAGTAGTCATATTAATCAAAAATATTTACTTAATAAACTAGTATATTATTTGAATATTATGCCAATTAAAGTTACTTAAAAATATTTAGACTTTAGTCGATTTATAATATATGATATGTAAAAGTCGAACGATTCGTAATCATACTTCCTTTTATAAATGATAACCTCTGGAGCGGCACTTGAGAAAGTAGTTTAGTTTTTAGGTTTTTTAATCGATAATATTATATTTTAATAGTAAAAAAAAAAAAAATAAGTAAAAGTAAAATTGCTATGACAAGTTTTACTTTTCACAACAATTAAATATTTCATAACATTTTTGACAGAAAATTCACAACGAATAAAATGTTGAATTATATAAATTAATAAGTCTTATTTATTAGTTTTTCTTGATTTCTTTCTTATTCTTTTCAGGGATCAAAGCCAAAATAATCTCCTAAAAATAAATAATAATAATAAAAAAATGGTACTTGTTTTTCAATACTAAATCATCTACACTTACTTCAATGTCTTTGACAATTGGTGTCCAACGTTTGACAATTGGTTTGGTTTTGATTCTGATATCATCCCTAACTTCATTGAAATGTTCCAAAACCGGTTTCTTGATTTCTTCGTATAATTTTACAAGGTCTTCTTTCAATTCAGCTAATTCTGCTTTTAATTTTTTGATCTTTTCACCGATTTCTGGATCCCTTGCTTTTAATTCTTCGCTAATATGCTCGATTTGACGTTGAACGACATCACAAATTTTTTTATGCATTTGCTCTACACTTTCTTCAAGCTAAAATGAAAAAAAAAATAAATTTTATTTTAATTGTGTATATTAACTTTATTTTAATTTACCTATTACCTACATACAATGATTGAAATATTCTCAGAAAGCTTATTCGAACTTTAATTTATTTAAAATTTAGTATTACAATCATTTTAAATGTTTTTTACATTATTTAATTTCAAGTGAATAAATAAAAACTAAAAAACTTACCTTTTGGAGAATACTTTGAAATTGGACATTAGTGTTTTCAACTTTTTCTTTTACATTATCGATGTATTGATCGATATGTAAATCAGCTTCATTTAATCTAGATTGGATTTTCTCTGAGATCCTGTAAGCCGACTTAGAAATCTCTTTGAATAATTCATCAAATGGATTGTCTGATTTTTCAGGAAGAAGTTTTGTACCTGCTTGTACCTATAGGTATATACAAAATAAATAAGTTAATATTGTATGAAATTTAAATTAAAACAATTATATTTAACAATAAAATTCTTAGTATACTGCTTTACATACTTGTGACAAGCAAAATAGGAAAAACACGAATTTAAAACTGTGATTTTTAATGTTCATCATTTTTATTGATTTCGTTTCAAATGGCAAGCGATACTTGGCTCTTAAAAGCTGGTAATAAACTCGGTAACAATGTTTGATCAGTTTTTATGCTTAAACTATGAACCCAAAACATCGATAGTCGATAAGCTATTTACTTATCTCGTTAATAAAGATATACTGGGTGATTCTTTTAACAGTAAACACTCAATATCTCTTACAATTTTAATTGTTTCTTTTTTTTAAATGATTTTTCAGTTTTGAATTACATATTATTACATTGTGATATATAATTTAAATATAATATGCTTAACCTGAATATTTTTGAATGTTTCTTAGAATATAATAATCGAGCTAAATAGCGGACAAACATTTTTCGAGGTAACGTTTAAATTTGAAATATACATATCACAAATTAACTATAATTTTAAGATTTTTAAAATTTTTGGATTTATGTTATTACTCTATTATACCTAATTGATGTTTACCTAATATATACTTGACAAAGGTAAAACTCAAATTTTAATCAATAAATTTAAAACAATTCATAAAAATATCCAGATAAATCTAGAACTAATTTATGATTAATAACAGTACCTAATTACAGAGAATATAAATATAACTTATTTTATATTCAAAATTTGTTTGAAAAATTGTATTATTGATATCATAACGATTAAATGTGTCAGTCGTTTTTGTTTATTATGAATAAACATTTAAAATTAACACGAAAAAAATTGTGAACTTGCTCTGCATACTTTTAAAGATATTTTATAATATATATTTTATTGCTACTATAGTAATTTACTTTTCTATTTAGAATATGATAGACAGAGCTATTATTTTTCCAAAAATAAATTACATAAATTGATAAATTATAATTATAATATTATTTGTTGCAGTATAACAAGTTTTTATTAATTTATAAGTCAAATATTGATGTGTTCCCCATTTAAATAGTTTAAAATTAATCTAAATATTTAAAAATATATAACATGCCTTTTAAATGCTGATAGGAATGTATTTTGGTGGAAATTTAAAATCTTTAGAATTATTCATTGTAAATTATAAATATATCAAAAACTGGTTGTGTATAAAAAAAATTCAGTTTTTCTTTAATTTTTTTTTTTTTTGTTTGTTTCCATCCAATACTTTTAAATATATTCACATACATTTTTAACCTTTTTTTGAAAAAAATTCAAAATTTGACCTTTTCTTCTGAATTACCAACTATATCCAATTTATTCCTCAGATACCACTAGCTAAGTAAAAATCAAATTATTTTTACTGCTCTCTGTCATAAACGATGACTGCTGAAAGACACATAGAAAATTTAATTTAAAAAAAATTCATTAATATAAAACCTAACCAATAAGTATATTCATTGCTTCACTTAGAGTTTAAAAAAAAAATAAGGAAAACGCTCTATTGTATAATAACTGACACGTTTTAAACGTACCTCTTTATTAGATAATATGTTTATGTATTAAATTTAAATTAACACATAAATCATTGTAAACGAAAAACGATTCTGATTGGAGATTGTTAGTAAATTTATATTTCTAAAGATATTTTTTTAATATACTTAATGGTTACGTAACAAAACCTCTTAAGTAGGAATGATTTTACAGCTGTGAACATTGCATAAAACCTAAAAAAATTTCTCAGCATAATATTTTAAATTGTTAATGTAAATTCACTAAGGGTGCCTAATGAGAGATATTTCTTACAATGTTCTTAATCACCCTAATAATTTTTCGTCAGTCGTTTTTCATATTAATAATATTTAATATTATTTATTATACATATGTGTAGATTGTAATTTTTTTCAAATACCTACAGTTATATTAAAAAAAAAAAAATAAATAAATAAAAAATAAAAAAAATAAATGTTTTAAATTATCTAATTTTACATATAAATCGAATTATTGTATACTTGAAATGCCCTGTTATACGTGCTTGTAAATTCTACTAAATTTCAGGTACCTAGTTGATCTTGATTGGATTTATAAAACTTGTAAAAATAAATATTAACTCCATCGATAGTAAATAAATGTAAAATTCTATTGATATTATGAAAACAAATTTGATCAAAATTGGTCTCGAAAAAATAATAATAACTAGACTTTTAAAATCACCATTTGTTATAGAGTCTAGAGCATTTGTCAAATGTGTCTGTCAAACCAACAACAGAGGAAGATCTATTTGCACAATACTTCTCCTCTTCTGCTATCATTTATTGGTGAATAAAATTTAATACACACAGTACATATAACAATGCAAATATTCATACAAATAACTTAAGCCAGCTTGTGTTTCTACTTCCTGTTCTACTGTTTGCCCAAGGAGTGCTCTGCTGCTTAAGAAGATAACTCATAGATTGTCTCTTGAATCTAGACCATTTAACACAATATATTTAAAAATTATTGAAATCCAGGATTTATTCTTTGATAAAATCTTTTTATTCTCTCGTTGTTATTAATAATTATAATTTAACTTATAAAATATTATTTAACCTGAATACATAAATGTTTTTTCATTTCTATTTGTTTCTTAAGTGTTTAAAAATAATTAGTTTTTTTATGCAACAAGTTAAATAATATTGTGTATGTGTGTGTGTTTAATGTGAATACACGTAGACAACTGACCTAAATCAATGTTAATTTTTACATAAACTATTGATATGCACGAAAATAAATTATGCTGATGTAAGTATAATATGCATATAATTATGATTGTTTCTAACTTATTTGTAGAGACTAGAGACGTGATTCTTTTTGAATGATATTAATAATACAATATAAGTAGATATTTAAGATATTTTATAATTCAAATAACTCAATTTAGATAAACAATTATGATAGAAAATAGATACAAACATTTAAAATAATTATTTTAATTAGTAAAATTAATACATTAATTCATTACTGATTTAAATATTTAAGTCGATAAACAAAACAAAATTAAAAAAGACAAATAGATAACATAACGAAAAATAAGGGGAATGGTAAACTCCTACAAATGCAATGTATAATCTCCTACATAGACATAGTGTTAATTCCTACAAAAGATGATAAAAAAGGGTATCGCTTGTACCACTATAAAAATATATCAGTCTTGCAATATATTAATACATAATATATTAATATCATAAAAATTTATAAACCCAAAAAAGTTAAAACAAAAATTATTTGAAAAATATAAAAAATTAGTAAAACAATAGTTTTTATGGCAGGTATACTTTGGAAATAAACTCTAAACATGAAATTTCTCCATGCATATATTTATTTTTTGTGGTTAGTATAAATTCATATTTTTAAATTGTTTTTGTTTGTCTGTATTGTGTCGATCACACATTAATTACTATCGTTTATCTATTAACATTTTGTACTGCAAGTGCCGATATGAACCTATAACATAGCATAAACGTAACATGGATATAACAAATCCATCATATATCATATAAACACGCTCTATTAAAATTTTTGTATTTTATATACAGTAGAACCTCGATTATCCATGACTCGTTTATCCGTGTTTGCGATTAACCGTGCCCATTCTTCCGAACATTTTTAAACATAATACTCGATATCGACAATCGTATTAATGACATTTTTGACGATAACTTCATATTTTAAGCCCTAATAACTTGTTGTAGGTATACAATATTATGGATGTAGGACGTATGTATAACATTATTGTATGTATACGTCTTCTTATGTATATTTCTAATTACAATTGAATCAAAATTTTTAAAATTTCATTATTATAAAAAGTCTCGATTAACCGTGATTTTCATTTATCCGTGTGACCCTCTCCCCATCATTACCCCGGATAATCGAGGTTCTACTGTATTTATTATTTTCAAGTAATATACATTTTTAACTTTTTGAGCTTTTCAACTCCAAAATTGTGAATTTAAATTATATTATCCTATTTTTTTAGGTAAAAATGTAAAAAGGTTATTGATGTAGGAGCTTAAATTTAATGATGATTCGGGTAAAAAGGTTATCCGTGTAGGAGTTTACATTTGGCCGAAAATAATGCGTATTGGTTCATTATGAATTTTTTGACTTTAACCTGCAAAACAACAAATCTTCAAGATGATTTCAGTTTGAAAATAATAATGTATATTTTAGTGGTTAAAAACAACTAAAATCGATTTAGCTGAAAATGAGAAATTATTCGTACATTTCAAGTGTTTTTTTTTTTATATGATTTTTGGATATTCTTTGAACTACATTAAAAAATGATTACCTATTTATACACCTAATTCGAGGGTGTCGTTCATAACTGCACACTTTTATATCTTAATCCCGCATATTTTCCCCAAATTAAACCGTTCAATACCGCACACATTAATATATATCAATAACATAATATACATTTATCTAAAATAACTTTATCGTTTAGTACTGCGCTATAGTTAATCATATTTAATCAAGATCACAAAATCTGAAACTAAATTTAGACTCATGCGAAACAACAACGTAAACCGTACACGTAAAGTATGTAGGGAAAAAGAAAAATATATTTTACATTTATACAATCGTGACCTAGGAAATAAATTTAATTGATTATTTAAAAACATTAGGGTGTAAATTTATTTCAATTTAATTGTATATATAATTATTTTTAATCTATGCTAAATTATTTTTTTTAATTATTTTTTTTTATGATAAAATATGCTTAATTTTTAACTGTCAATCAAATTTGTGCGGTTTTGAACTATCAACCTTTCAAATTTACCTTTTTAACAATAGAATAAATATGTGCGGTATTGAATTGTGTAAAATGTGCGGTTATGAACGATAAGTGTGCTGTAATGACGACCGCCGTAATTCGATTACTTTTTTTTGTTCGTTTTTATATATTACCTATTTATATTAAATCAGCTATATAATGTTCTAGATTACACATTTATATATTTTTTTAAATATTATTTTTATTTCTTAACAATTGTAAATATTTGATATACTTATATATCTTAACTTAAATTCTTAGAAACTAGTTTATTGAATTGATTAAAGATAACAGTTTGAACAATATTTTTATAATGTTACGTCATTATTACTAGTGTTCGTAAAAAATGTAATATAATAATAGTATTGATAAATAGATAATATAAAGTTTAAAATTTATTAATAATTTAAAATATGTATTTGTGGACAATATGATTTAACATTCACTTTTTTTGGTTAAAAATATTTGTTTTAAAGTTAGTAGGTATTTTAGAAGTGGGAGGAGTGTATTAAAAATAGAATAATTTTAGTTTAACCTATTAACAATAATAATGATAAAAACAAACACAAATAAAAGGGAGAAGTAAGTAACGCATAGTTAGTAGGTGTCGAATATATTATCATTAAGGAAATCATTGTGTCTAATAAATGTATTAAATTTGAATTAAATAGTACCTAAATTAACCATAATAATAATTTTTGAGAAACCTTATATTAAATTTTCAAGCTTTTTGACTCAGTGATAATATCTTAAAATAATCGTTTTCAACTCATGACAAAATAGTTTTGCATTAAAATTTCCGTTTTTGGCTATAACTTGTTATTTGTTTTTTTTCCAATTATTTTTAAAATTACTGACCATTTTAATTTTGGACTACTAAAATAAATATTTAAAGTACTAACTATAGATTAATTTTCCAATCAGATAAGATAATATTGATGTTAAATTCTACAATTTTTTCTATAATAAATCGTATAAATATTTCTTATATATATTTTCTTATAAATGACGTATAATAAGGTACATAAATCATTATTTTTGTATGAAAGACTCATTGGATAATCCACAGTTAGTCATCAACAAAATTATATCATAATATAATTAAAATCTGATATTATTCTATTGTGTATTATTCTCATTTTACTTTCGATATCTAATCTATAAAAATGGTTGGTCAATTACGAGCAACATGTTTTATCCGAACGCTCTATGATCGGATATATTTTTGTTTTTGCTGTTATATATTTCTCATTATATAATGCAGCTTATAAATGTTTTTTTGTTGGTCATCCCACAATAATAATAGCTAAGTATAAAGTAAAGTAAAATAAATAATTATCATTATGTGTAAATGTCGTTCAAATATTTTAGATTTTTGTCTGAAAGAGAAAACTGTACTCTACTAAAGTACAAGTAAACAATTTATAACAATTATTTAATATAAATATCCCTCCCCCCACCTACGAATATACCAATATGATTTATCTGTAGGTAAATATATTGTAAAAAAACACATCATCGCCAAACGTCTTTAATGCGAAGAAACAAACAAAAAAAAAAAAACACAAATTTCCTGCACAAATCGGACGGATACTATGGCCATATATTTTTATAGATGCTTCTTTAAAGAATCAAATATTTGTATTTAAATGAATTTATAAGTATTTTTAAACACCTTGACTCAGTATATAATCTATTTTAAATAAATTAAGAAAAAAGATTTATTTGTATTAATAATTATTATATTATAATACTTAAACTTTTGTGTACAATATAACAAAAAAGATGGGCAGATAAGTCCAAAATTTAAACTTTTTGGATTTCTTTTAAGTGACTATTTAAATATTTGCTCTATTTTTATAAATTATAAATAGTGTGGTAAATTAATATAAAATTTATAAAATTATTTTAAAATTATTAAATTAATTATTTAATTATTTATTATTTATTTAAATTATTTTAAAATTATTACTAAAATTTTCTAATTACCATAACCCTCCATATTTTTCTAACTTGTTATCATGGATTTATTATATTTAGCATACTAACTACTAAGTTAAGTAACTTAAAAACTGCTCGATATAATTTTAATCTTGATGCATCAACATTTTTAGAAAAACAATCTGCAAAATATTTTACAGTGTAAAAAGGAGGTAGTTAGTTGTAAAATAAGAATTTGTATCTCCATATGACATTCCTTAAGTAATATAAAAAATCTTAAAAATTTTAATATTCAGGATTTAAAAATAATAAAAAATTAAAAAAAAAATAGATTTTTGATAATTACTTTAATGAACAAAATGAGGATATAAGCATGCTTGGTGAATCACGCTGTATATCACACATGACTTATGATGATAATGATGAAATTAGTGTACAACTCTATATTAATACTACATCAATTTTTATACAGTAATTTCTGGCTAAAGGTATGTAGCGTCATACTATGCACATACAATTAACCTATATAAATTTTCTTTCTAAATACCTATTGTATAAAATGTTAAAATATTATTTATTAATTTAGGTATACATTTTTTTTTTTTTTTATAGAATATCTATATTTAAAAATGAAACATAACAACTTACAAATAAGCCGATCACTATTTTAATGTTTTACATAAATTTATTGTGATAAATAAATAGACCATGCATAGTTTATAATAAGGAGTTCTTAAAATTATTTCAAGTGAAGAGTTAATATTTTTAACATAATTATGAGGCTATAAATAAGTTTATAATGTAACATTATAATAAAAAAAAAAAATGTCGGAGGGCTTAGCTCCCTCTCCATTTCTACACATGAACAGTAGATAATAATTTTATTTATAAATTATAAGCTTCGATAAAATCAATTTTGTATTTTTATTGTAATTCAAAAAGAATTTAGCCACAAAGACTTAAATTTTTTTGACAAATAATAAAATTAAAATTCTTTACTTCTGATATAAATTACAAAATGTGGATCTGTTTGAAATATAAAAGAAATTTTAAATTTTTACTTGTGCTAAATTTTTTATTAACTGAAGTTGATGTCATTTTTTTTTTGTTACTACAAGATAATTAAATTTTACTAAAAATATTTGAAAATATCAATAAAAGATTCTTTCTAAATTAGTTCATACAGCAATTAAAAATATCAAATATCCAGTCACAATTTATTTTTAAGCTTATTTTTTGAAGTACTACTAAATAGAAAATATTTACAGTAAAATCACATCAATTTTTTATGATTATTTGAAATTTTTAAGAAAATAACGATTTTAGTTATTTTATTTCAGCTTAAAAAATCGTAAAGATTTGAAACAATTCAATATTATATTATTATTGTACTTATTTACATTGACATTTTTAAAATCTTTAAGCTAATTTTAAGGTATTTATAATTTATATATATTACGAAACTTTTCATGTCATTCTATGTTACATTATTAGTATTTAATTACGACTATTGGTTTATTTGTTAATACCAATCATCAGTTATATGATAATATTATAATTCGACAAAAAATTGTTCTAATAAAATTGTATTAATATTACTCATTACTCATTAGTAATAATAATATAAGAAATAATGTCAAATATACCTTCTCATATACAATCACATTTAGCTTACAATGTTTTATTTATTTGTAACTTAAATTGTACATTAAAAAATTCAAATTCAAATTAAATACATCCTTGTTAGTCACTAGATTTAGGTATACACTAAACTTACTATAGAGCAGAGCAAATGCCCTGAATTTTAAACCTAAATATTGATTTATTGATCATACATAGCTTTATACATTTATATATTAAAATAATTTGAAATTTAACCAATAATTAAACCAAAATTTGTTGAAAATATGCTCAATTAAAATTGTATTAACATTATATTTTATATTTATTATTTACACATTTTTCTCGCAAAAAATATTCCTAGTAAAGTTTATTGATTTTAAATATTCAAAATGAATAATTAGAAGGCATTTCATTTCTTTTTTTCCTATCACTACTTAAAATCAATATGTGTGAGCGTGGGCTTAGTACATCATTTATGTATATATGCGTATTTGTAATTGTTTTAAATTCAATTTAAACTATTAATTATTAATTATACCTTCCTGTTATCTAACCAACAAATTTCATACTGTAGTTTTACACAATAATGAAATCACATAACTGACCAATTGTAATTATAACCTTAAGTATAATAATTAATAACTAATAATAAATAATACAAAAAATATTAACTCAGGTATATTTTATTTAAAAAAAATCATGAATATAAATCGATTATACTAAGAAAAATAATTTAATTAACAAAAATATAAAAAAATATTGTTTGGATTAGATGCATTGCATTATAAAATGCTTCACTGCTTCTTGAGTCCATCAATGGCTTTGTTTACTGTAGTCTAAAACATTAAATCAACAATTATTCATATTTCAAAATATATTTAAAATATATAAAGAATTTTATAATAAAACATAGTTATTGATAAATAATAATAATATTTATGATGTATCTAACATGTTTTACAGTAAAATTGTTCGTTTAAATTGTTCAAAATCAATATAATATATCCTGTATGAATAAGTTAAGTTACATCATTGTAAAAATTCGAATCTATAAATATTTACGACTGTTTTAATTTTGAAAATTAATATTGTTAGTTAACGATAAGTTAATCAATCAATCAATCAAAAAAATGAAACAAATTATTAACTAAAAATAAAACGTTTAGAATATCAATACATTCTTTTATATAATACTATAATCAATTGTGTAGGTACTATTATTTGTTAGATTATGTTTGTGGATATAAACATTAAATTTATATACTTTAACTTACTTCTAATTCTTTGGTAGATTTGAGAATTGATTCGGAAAGTTTCTTTACGTCATATTTTTCGTTGATTGGTTTGCCGACTTTGTCGTCGAATATGGCTTTGGCATCAGTGATTTGTTTTTTGAATTCCTTTTCTAAATCATCGTATTTTTCAACCAATTTTGGATCAGCGTTTTTGCGAACGATTTCCTTCATTTTACCAGCTTCGGTTTCAATCTGTTAAAATGAATTTTGTTAATTTTGTTTATTCAAATGAAATAAAACAACGAATTATATATTAAATTATTCTTTCTTACGTCTGTAATTCCTTTGGTTATCAATCCCTTAACTTTGTCGATGGATTTTTGGGCATCTGCGGGGTATAATCCTAATATGTGATTGGAAATAGATAAAGCAGATTGTGTGAACTGTTCACCAATTTTTTTAAAGTCTTCGATATCAATTGCGGGACCAGTTGCAGCTGATAGGGCCTAAAAGTGTTTAAATACATTTCATCATTTAGTGATAATTAATAAACTAAAATTAAATGTTAAAATCATATATATTGTTCGTCAGAAATTTAGAATCACGATATTTTAATTTTAAATAACTATATAAAATTGTAGTTATATATATAACACACGCATTAAAATATATTGTGTGAGTGTGCATAATGAATATTATACGTGAAATCATACACTTGTAATGGAGGAATTTTACAATAAAATCATAAATTAAATAAATAACTTAAAATTTATTATTATTCTTTTCATTTAGATCGTTATAGAGATACGTATAGTCAAGTATAGAGTACTTATTGAAATATCGAAGAAAAACAATAACTTATATTATGCGTAAATATTATAATAGCTGTCTCTAGCTTGAATAAATTCTAACCTGTCCAACAAAGACGACCGCAAAACATAAAACAATTTTTCCATTCATGTTGACGGTGTTTTTTGATTACAACAATAATAATAAAAGTTATACTCAGCAAACAAATTCGTACACTGATCAATCAAAACTAATCGGCCGGCTTATATAGGCAATAATAGCCATGTCCCCCAACTCGACGCGCCGCTATTAGTTATTGATAATGTACTATGAATTATGATCCAATATTGCTATATAGCCTACTTGAACTTCGGTGCAATACTTTTTCCGAGTAATAATTTCTACACTCATTTCATAAATCTATTAAAAAATTAACGGGCTTGGACAATGAGGTAAACTTACAAGAGCTGACGTCAACATTATGTTATAATATCGTACTCTTCGCGTTATATTTTTTCGATTTTAAGCCTAGTATTGAGTGTTGTACATGCTCTACTTAGAAATCACCTTTAAAACCAGAACACAATTATTAATAAGGCACAGTGCACTTTGTAACTATGTTAATTGATTTTAGAGGTGATTTAATACGTGCATATATATACTGCGCGTTCATTGATCAATAAATTGTTTTCTGTCTAAGGTCACTTTTTTTTCGGGATGTATTACAAGATGGAACTTGAGCTGTATTACATCGTTGTTTTTTGTTAGAATTTTTAGTCAATACTGTTCATGATAACATTCTTGAATTATTGTCTTTGTAGTATTTACTCAGTAACTAGTACTTACCTAAACAGCATCCTAATCCTAATACAAATAAAATTAATATTTTTATAATTAATTTTCATATTTTATTTAAAAATATAATAATATCTTAATCGTTGTTGTTTTTATATTCTTAATATTATTTCTGAGTAATTTTAAAACCCGACATAGTTTTTATTATTAGTTTTTAAGTCATGCAGGTCAATATTTTATCCGAGTTGGCTTATTTTTTATTCATCTCTAAGAATATCAGTTTTAATTTTATTACTATAATATTAAACGGTGCAAAACTATAATAACACTTCAGAAGAATAAAATTATTATAGATCAACACGTCTTATAACCATCGATGGTTGTTACTCGAAGATTTATGGAATAAACCTGTTTTAAAAATATTTCTTTACGAAAAAATCATTTTGTGTCTAATAAATTAATAATAACAATACACTATTATATTAATTTTTTGAACGTTAATGTTATAAATATTAACAACAATTTTTTTTTATATACTTAACTTAATTATTTAATGTTGAAAATATATCAAAAATTTTAACGTAATAATTTTATTTATTTTGAAAAAATAAGAATTTATTGTATCTGCTTAAATACCTATTTTCGAACAAAATAGAACAAAATAATATTGATTAATATTAAATATGTATTTGTTAATATTCGAGTAATAAATATTATATTTATTAGTTTCATTTATAAATCGTTTATTAACCATTTTTTAATTTTATATATAATAAGATATATTATTTACAATAATTTAACAGTATATAAATCTAAAAACAAGTTTTACAAAATAATATATTAAACAAATTAATTATAAAATTGTAATGATTATTAACTTTTGAAATTATATCTTATAATAGTGAAATTTCTTCGACGATTACGAATATAAATGCATATTGATACATCTATACTTACAGATTATAATATATATATTATAGAACATATTACTAAGGTTAAAAATAATGAAAAAACTGCGTAATTAGTACCTACTTTTAAATCAATCCCGACGTAATTTTAAGTATAAATCAAGTTTTACTTAAACCTAAAAAATGTACATCAATTTAAATGCATATCCACATTTTAGGTTATAATATAAAAGTGTGTGATTTTTTTTTTAATGGATGTTGTTTTATCTGATTTATTAATTTTAATAAAATTATATAACACACATAACTTTGAGTTATTTTTTTAAAGAGCTACTAAAAACCTTCTTTTATTATTTTATACATGGCACGTAACAAATATAATTCTTAAGGTTATCTTATTAAAAATTTAAAAATTAACTGTATATTTGGCATATACCTAATCAATAATTTGTATTAATTATATTATGAAAATTATTATCTATTTTCGAACATCAATACTTTTTATATTAAAGCTAAAATCATTCAATAGAGTAATTTATATCCATAAATTTCATTTACTATTTATTTTATTTATCCCATTCATTTTATCAGTGTTGTTGAACCGACTTATAAACGTAACTGATAATACTTAGTCTTTGGGAACTAATCAAATGCATAAAGGTCGATGCCCACAAAATTCTGAGAAATAAAAATATATAACAGGAAACGGTTATACATTTTACCGATCTAACCGTTGTACAGAGCAGAATAGTGACATTTAAATAAATTACATTTTGAAAGTAGAAATCTCCACATGAATTTCATTTATATCTAATACAGGATTTAATATTTTATTGAAATATCGTCGTTATTTACAATTTCATAAAAGCATTTGCATTACAAATACAATGTAAAATAGGTACTTTACAGGGGTTTATAGTTCATTTAAATTTTTGTATTGTTTGATAAATGTATTCATCAACTTAATATAAAATATATTTTTTTAAATTTATGCAATATTTAAAAAATATAGTTAATAGATATTTTAGGTTATGTATAACATTTTACATAAAATTGTCTTGCACACATTTTTTCACCAGAATACTTTACACGAGTGGTTCTATGTTAAAGATTATATATACTTAAAGACAAATTTATTTGTTTTATACATTGTTTTATGTTATAACAAATATTTTTCTTTGTTCGATATACCTATCATTTTATCACAATATAGTGTAGAATGTGTAGACTGTTGATCAAACAAAAATATTTAATCAAGAATTTGATGTAAGTATTAAATATTAATAAAATATTGTATGTTCCACTTCAAGAATTGGTTATAAACTGATAACCAATATTTATTATAAAATTTAATATAATATTTTAAAAACAAATTATCAAAAAATTTGATTTATTTTAAGTAGGTATGTGGTGTGTCACTGATAACACGCTGGCTAGTATGAAATAATGGTTAACGAAATAAAATTTACGCTAAAATTTAAAACTAAAAAATCTTCCTAAGTTTTACACTTTAAAAAGTACTTCTAGGCTTCAATTATCATTATAACCTCAAATATTTTGTATGATTATTATCTGTTTATAATAATATATTAATATGTATATATATATATATATATATAACGGATATAAAATCTTAAACAATAAACGAAAATGTTGGCTTTTTAATGAAAAAATCAAAAATTATACGTAATGATTTAAAAAACATCGTGTTATCTTATATTTGAATTACAAAATTAAATTGTTGATAATTTATCATTTAAACTTCAGATATCTAAAAAAATAGTTTTATTGTTTTAAAAATTATTATACAGAATTAAAAAATGGAAATTTAATGCAGTTCTAATAAAGTCTGAGTATAATCTAAATAATGTATAATTGAAAATATAATTCGTATTGGTACAGTTAGTTTTATTTTAATAAACAACAAAGATTGTATTTTAAATATTCAATACGTTTGTATTTTATTATTTTTTAAACAATCATTAATGACATATACTTTATGTATATAATTATGTATTAAGTGATTATTTTAAAAGTTAATACTCTTTATCTCAAAAAGTACTAAATTTTTACATAATCTAAAATCACTGTAAACCAATGGATTACCTGCAGGTTTGTTTCCAGAGAGTACCTACACTACAAAATTTTAATCCGTTACTTCGCTAATCTAAACTTTAATATTCATAAATTATAATAATTATCAACTTACTCGAATGAAATTTGTTTTTCATATATTGATATTAAGAAAAAAAATTTGCTAAACGTAAAACTTAAAATGTTTTGCTTTATAATTATAATTGATTATAATATTATATAGATAAAGCCATTATAACTTTTTTTTATCATTTTTTTTTTTTTTTTAACTACAAATAATAAATAGAACATATTTTTAAAAACGTTAAATATTTTCAAAAAAAAAAAAAAGATGATTATTAGTTTTAAAAGAATTTGTCTATATTCGGCTATAAATGATCTACAAAAATTCTACTATGAAAGAAATTTAACGAAAAAGTTTTTATTGAGAAACTGTACAGCATTTACAATAAATCCAATCGTCCCTGAAATTTAAAAAAAAATTTTAAAATACTTTCAATATTTATCGGACATATTAAATGAGTCGTAACCATATATTAAAATTGTAATTTTTATTGTAATTAAAGGCTGAAAATATTTAAAATTTAATTTACCCGTGACATCAACATACCAAACACACAAGTGATCTTAATATTATAGCTTTCTTTATGTAAAAATTAGTTATAAGAACAAAATATATTAACAAAATAAATAGGAAATATATAGAAAGAAACCTGAAATAAAATGTTAAAATGTTAATATAAATTGTTTCGGTTTCCATCATATAGGTTTTTATATGTTGTCAAAATCATGTAAATATTTAGCTTCTGTATGGGGTATTGTGTATATTTCTTTTTTCAAAAATATGACATGTACGAAAACGTGTTGTACAGAGATTATTATGGATTGTGCCATTAACTGCAACGTTCCAATTAATATATATATATATATCAATATATCATTGATTTAATATACGTTATCTTTCTTTTTGAGAAGATATTTGTTTTGTTTTACTGTATAATGTATTGTATTTTTATCTGTAGACCTTGATCGTTTGCTATTCAGTCACAATCGTAGACGACCTGTTAATATTATGTTCATGGTTGATGTTTAACAATATATTTTATATATACACATTGCGTTATTAAGTAATGCGTATACGGTCTGAAGTAAATTATTAAGCGTTCAAATTTCATGTTTGTCAATGGGATAAACAATTATGTAAGAAAAAACCGTAAATATTATGAAGATGTATTTACTTATACCTATAAGGCAGACAATAAAATATATGTACCTATATACCAATTAGACGTCATGCGTCATGTTTTTTTTTTATTAATCAACATAATATTTTATGATATTTAAAACAGTTGTCTCGACTACCAGATCAAAGCTCACAATAATATTGTATACGTTATGATACTACATATTCATAATATTAAGATCTGTTGCACAGTTGCACCAAGTACCAATAACTAATAAATCGGTTTGATGAAAATGTTGTTAGTCCCACAAACGTAACTTTGATATTTATTGTTTTTTTTTCAATTATTTATAATTTTAGTTAATTATAATATTTCTTAATTATAACCACAACAAAATTGCGTTTATCTGTTAATTTCTATTATAACTTATAGGTACTATATATAACTTATACGTCCTCAATTGGCATAACTTTGAGATGGATCTAGTATTAAAATATTTATAGTATAGATATAAGACAAAATTATATTAGAATACGCCATTATGAGTTTTTATTATTTATTATTATATATATAATACTGCAATAATAAAATAAAATATTAATTTAAAATACCTATTTACTGATCGAATAAAATTAATATCTAAACGAAAATTTGTAAAATAATTAAAAAATGTATTTATTTTATCCGTTTAATTCAATTATTTGTAATTCTCTTGATTTTGCGGCCGTGAAGAAATATTTGAGACTCTATTGTAGTTTTATATTTTATAATCATAATATATTTATATCTAAAAGCTTTGATTTGACTAACTGTAATTGCTTAGATTTTTCTAGTTCTGTTTTATTTTTATTTATTTTCTTTAATATATCCTTACATGATATATTTATCTGTAATTTAATAATATATTATGAAGATAGAAAAGGAAATATGTGAGTAATAGATAGTTAGGTAATGCAGTAATTGATATACATTTTTATTTAATACTATAGAAAATTAAACATAACTATGGTAAATAATAAATTTACTTAAATTTTACTTATTAATTTTTCCATTCACAGAATCGCATTACATAGATCCTATGAAGTTCCTTATTTATTTAATTGTTCACGGGACAAATAATATCAAATTTATTGGTAATTTCAATGAACATCAAATTTTAAATTTGTGTAACTGACGGCCATAGACTTTAATTTTCTGTCGTCATAAAATATACAAAACCTAATATTAAATATAATTTTAACACAAATAGTATACAATAATAATGTATAAATTGTTCAATAAAAGTTAAGACTTTAAATAGGTATTTATTTGGAAAGTAGCTGACATACAAAAAAAAAAATTTCAAAAATAATTAGTTTTAAAGTGTGAAATAGGTCAAATTTTCCTTGGTTCTTGTATGGGGAATGTTTATACGTATAGAAATTTAAGAGTAGTCAGTATATATTACTAAATATATTTCACTTTATTTTTTGTCATAAAACTATTAAAGTAATTTATTTTACTTTTAGTATAATTTTAGGTAAATTAATTTTTTTATGAAAACAATGCATTTATTTTATTATTATTTTTCTCAGTTATTTTGAAAATTACCGGGAATTTTTAATTTTTAACTTCACAAAATACAATCTAAAACCAATTTGCTATGTTATTAGAACGGTAGAGGAGAAAATGCACAATAAATAACAATCAATTTATTTTTAAGACCTTAAATGTTATAGTTAAAGTATGAATTATATATTTTTGGATTTTTTCCATATTCTTTACGAATTTTAATAGTTTCAATTTTCAAGGTAATAACAACAGTTTATTTTGCATATTTCAACAACATTCGATACTTATTGCATATTATTATAATGAAATAAAATTTTACACTAACTTTAGATTTAAATAAAAATAAAAAATAACATTTTGTGAGTAGAAAATTCTAATACTTAAAAAATGTTATCAATTACGAACCTAATCGTTTCTCGATAAAACAACAAAAAAAAAAAAAAAACCATTATAAATTTAATCACTGTTAACAGGAAATGAACTTTATTGTTCATAATCTTGTTAAGCAATTTCACTAAAAGAAAAAAATATTATATGTTTTATATGAAATATCCAGAATTTAACAATTATCAAATAAACGATTTTATTGTGTTCATTTATTTTACAATTACCTCACTTTTAATTTTTAATGATTTTGCATGTTACTAGCATATTTTCACGATTCTTACTATATATTATATGGCATATTGTTTGAACCATTATTGAATAAATAGGGTAAATACAATCAGATAAATTCAAACTAGTAGTTAAATTATTTCACTGGTGTTAAATATAATCTAATAATATCAATGTGATGTTATAACTGTAGGCTATGATTTATTATAAATTATAATTTCGATAATATAATTTAAATTAAATTAAAATAATTTAAAAAATAATAATAGTTATGAATGAAGTGGATACCTATGAATAAATATTGCCTTACATATATTAAAGGTCTATTCATACTTATTATATTATATGACTATTTTAGGAAGTGCACTGTTTCTAAAACAATTTTGTAATCATTATGATTTTATAAAAGCCTGTAAGATGGATACTAAACAAAAAACATCGTTACTAATTCCTGTTATAGATCCATCGTTATTATAAAAATAAATAATAGTATTAATTTGTCACGTTTCAATGTTTGGCGTTTTACAAATTGGGCATTGTTTTTTCTCACTACCCATGTAATAAGTTAATTTTTCTAATAATAAACATACAAATGGAACTCATATAAAGATGCCTGTTTTAAAATACTTTTTATGTATTGTATCTGTTCATTAGTACAGGTAGAGTTCAAAGTGTTGAAACATAATTTATGTAAACTGTTGCAAAATAACGTTGTGCTTATAATCTTAAATGTATTTTAAAATTACGATGTTTTGGTTTGAGTTAAATACAATTTTAATGATTTCCGCTGTTTCACAGGTAAATATAATTAATAATAATAAGTTTTTACATTAGTTAAACATGATTAAAGAGAAAAGGATTTTATTTTATGAAATAATTTTTAAATATAAAAACAAGATTAAATTATTAATCATCTATAAAAATAAACAAGTATGAGGCATTATTTAAAAATTTAATTTCAATATGAATCATAGATGAATTATGTGATAATTTCAATACAAAACATATAGTTCGAAAAAAAAAATACATTACATTTTTTTAAACTTTATTTTTGCGTTTTAAGTACAAATTCAGACAAAAATGTAGTATTATCACAAAAATTAGCAAATCATTTTATATGTAATTAAAAATACAGACAATTTTAAACATCAAGAATTAAATATGTAATGTATTGTTCAACAATAAATAAATAATTTTGTAGCATGTTAACATTGACTTAGATAAATAAATTTATTATTTATTTATGCATACAGCACTATAAGTTAATAATAAGTAATAATTTATGATACAATATTAATTCATTAATAACATAATATAGGCATTGTTTTCGCCAAAAATTGGTCCAACCTACCATACTTTACTAATATATAGTAATAAAAATAAATCATAAAATATCCTTAGAAATAGACTGTTACATTCAGAATCGTTTTTCGTATTTAATAATTTATCATAAAACACAAATTTCATTTATTACATCCAATATAGTGATTTACTCATTGAAAAGGTACATGTGAAACCTATATAATATTCCTTCTCGAAGTTTTTATTTTATTGATTTTTCATTCAAGTTAATGATTTTTATAATTATATTTCATAGAAATTGCAACAATAGGCAAAATTAGAACATAAGATATAATAATAATAATTATTATTTATCTAGTTTTATTATTATTTAACAAAAAATACTCAGAAAATCAAAATAAAAAAATGAAACAGAATATAATATTTTAAATGTCATTAACATAAACATTAACTGTAAAGTTATTTAAATATATTATATATTTATTTTTAACTTTTTTATATAGTTATGACTTAAGTATGTATATTTTAAAATTAAGACTATTTACCTTATAAGTTACTATATACAAGTATTATAACATGGATTTTATAAATTCTGAGCGAAATAATGTTAATTTTACAATGATGAGTGTTTTATTATTATTATTATTATTATTATTATATTTTTTTTGTTAATAAAATCACAAAAAAACATACATATGTATCTTCAATATTTTTAAATAGTTTTAATAAAAACTTATGAGGAACCTTGTTATTTAAAATGTCAATGAATAGTTCAAAAAGAATAAAAATATTATGAAAATCGTACCATGTATAAAAAAGAGAAATATAAAAAATTAAAGTGTCTGCTTTAATTTTTTATATTTCTCTTTGAAGTATCTGTATTTATGCGTTTTTGATTCACAATAAAACAAGAAAATCGATTTTGTTAAAAGTTGGTTCAACATAGAGCTTTCAGTTTTTTAAATTTTTTATTTTTATTTTTTCTTGTTATTTTGAAAAGTATAAAGAATTATAATTTTTTATCTTCTAAGAATTAACTAAATTCAATTTTTATCATAAATACCCTCAAAGTAGAAAATTGAAGCACTTTTTTTTTACTAAAAATCACACATACAAAAACAATTTTTAAAATCAATACATTTATTACACCGCTTAGAATTTAAATTTATAAATATTCATTTAAATTTTAAATTTTTAAGGTGTGTGGATTGAATCAAAATGCATCAAACATTTCAAATAATTTTCACTATACAAAAAATGAACCTAGTTTTTTGATTCTAAAGGATATTCAAGGTAATATGTATAAGTATATTTATCCAAATGATATGGACCAATTTTCTAAGATGAGTACTCTCGGTAATAAAAATTCTTCTACGGTGATACATCTACCACCAGGAATATTGAAAACTGAAAATAGTACTTGTGAAACGGATATTGCTTCCGAAGATAATCCAAAAATAACATCTGAGAGATCACGAACCACTACTCCAAAAAGTACAACCAATAATAATGCACTTTCTCGTAAGAGTAATGACAACATCAAATTAAAACTTAATAAGAATCCATCTGTTGTAGTAGATTCTGTATTGTCGACAACCGAAAGAAGAAATTCTGTAGTAAACCATACTACCGAAAATGAATCAACCGAGACTACTACTATTCAAAATAGTAAAAATAAACATACAACTGAAAAAGATGAAGATGGTAATGGTATCGATGTCAAACAAGAAAATCCAATATTAAAAACGGGAATAAATCCACATATATTACCATATGACAATAATACTAAAGAAAATTTAAATTATATTATTATCGAACGTTTATTTTTATTGAAAAAAAATGGTGAAAAACATGAAAACTCAAATGAACAACAGAATTTGTACAAATCTAGCGACACACCTAACAGCTTAATATTATTAATCGAAAATAATATTAAACTAAAGCTATTTAAAAATTCAAACGGAATATTAAAGAACTCGTCTCCAGTAAACAGTAGAAAAAATTCAACATTAAAAGTAAAAGACGAACTTTCTACCGAAGATGACATAACAAGTAATTACTCCCCAATATCAATAGGTGAAGTAGAGTGATAACATATTTCATTAAAATTTCAACAATGGACCTGCATTATAACCGTTTTAAGTGTAAGATAGAATTTCGGATCAAAATGTATAAACCTACATTCAAAAATTAATAATAAAAAAAAATAATATGTATTAATAAATATTGTACTTATATGCATAATGTAATATTAAGAATTTTTGAATGTAAAAAATAATAGTTTCTGCTGTAATCAGTATGTTATAAATGTAAGTATGTGTTTTTTTTTTTAGAATCCATTGAATATTATGATTTAATGTACAATTTCTTATAAGTTATCAATTATTTATATGATATATATTCTGAAATTAAAAAATTGTTCCTTAATAAATAAAATATATTTAAATAACTATTCTGTACAATATTTTCATTATGAGTTTAATTTTTGTTTTCTTATTTCGGATTATTTTAAGGATGAATTTTTTTGTTCATTCACTGATCATTTTCTTATAGCTAAACGCAAAGATGCAAAGTATCTTAGATACGATGTATGCTGTATTTTGTATCTTTTAACGTTTGATAATTGTATCTAGTATATTGTACCTAAATCCATTGTTTCTATGGTATACATTGTATCTTTTTTTTTTTTATTAACTAGATACAAATGAAGATACGTTTTTTTAGGAAGAAGATAATATCAGTTTTAATTTGTTCTACAATATTTTATAGGTGGTTGATGGAATTAAAAAATATTAATCGTAAAACACGTTTAAAAGTTTTCCAGTATATAATACAAATTAATTTTGACGATATAAAAAAAAAAAAAACAAAGTGTTATACACAATCGCGCATTTAGATATAAAATAATTCTTTTCATTATCTAAATTTCCAAGAAATATATTATATTAATCGTCTTTCTAATTTTTATACTGAACACTTGTAGCATTAATGTATTTGAAGTAAGTATGCATAACTAATAAAAGTAATTACAGTTAATAAAATAATTTATATTGAAAATAATATAATCAATTTTCATGGATAATATTAGATTCAATTGACCCCAGTCTGCTTGTTACCATTGGCCCCATACAGAATTTTTTTGATCAATGCGAAAACAAATGATGAACTTACTTAAGAAATTAAGTTAATTTATTATTATATAATCGTTATCTCCAGAAATTTTACTCGAAGTTACTTTAAATAATAAATTAAACAGTGTACATACGACGGCGTAAAAAAACAAAAAAAATTCACTTTTGAATTCAAAAATAGGTTTTATTTGATTAATAAAACATGATAAAGCTAAACTGATAACAGGATAAGATGGCAAAAATTGGGGACAGATGACGCACGTACAACCGTTAATTATTGTATAACATATAGAAGAAAATAATTAGCATGTTACGTTTGCCCCCAGTCTCCCCTATATTTATATATAACATTTTATAAAACAGACTACGAAAATATAATATATTAATATTTAATATTGATTGTGTTGTAAGTCTGCAATAAATAAACTAAATTTATATTTTACGTCGTAATATTTAACAATAACAATGTTGTCATTGTATACATGATTTTATTGGTGATCAATAAAAATATAAAATACAAAATACAGAAAATATGTATATTTATAAGATTTATTTAGATAATTCGAATTTTAAATTCGATTATCATAATATATTTATATAGCAATGAACGATGACAACATAAAGATATGTATTCAGATGCGATATCGACAATGGACACTATACACGAAGTGTATATATATTATTTGGTAAATGAACTTTTATCGATAATTTAAATGTAAAAAATGAAAATTAAATTTTTTTGTAGCGTTATTATTTCGTATCATCAATATCCGCATGTCACATTATAACCAAACGATCGATCAAATACATAATATTTACTTACATACTACATAATAAAATAAGTAATATTTGCAACATCTCTTCGTATCGGTTAAGGAAACGTACATAGAAACACGTAATTGATTGTACATGGCTTTTCATTGACAAGATATAACATACATATAAATTGTATCCACTATATATATTCAAATATACTAGGTCATCCATGCACAAGAAGTTGTAGTTTTAAAAACAGAACATAACTCACAGTACTCTTATTTTACAGTGAATCGTGTTGCAATAATTGGGTCCAACTACAGTTGTTCAAACTTTTTAAATTATAAGACTTTCAAAGTTATCATGATTCTTCAAGTAATAATACTGACAATCACGTTATTATTTTCACAAGTAAGTGTACAACTATTTCTAATTTATCAATTAGAGTTATGACTTATGACTAACTCATCATAAAAGTATCGTTCAGATAAGACACAATAACTCACTAATGTCGATAATATGATGTTCACGTATTAGTATATTACCGTAATAGATCCTAGTAAAAATATAATAGTACAATTGTACTACATATATCAAATACGATTAAAATTAAACGTATAAATGTTTCGATTTCAGCTAAAGTTGCATTTAATAAAAAGTATTATTAATAGATAAGTAAAATTATATAAACTAATAAAAAGACGTTATTAAAAGTTATTAACAGTTATTAAAAAAAAAAAAACTAAACAATACTTAATTTATTGAAATACCGACTTAAATTTTATTTAAAAAATACTAATTCTAATTAAGCAAAATTTCAAATAATATTATGATAATAATCTATAATATAATATCTCAATAATTAAAAACTCATTAAATAATTTTTTTCCCTTACGACTTACGAGACCTTAGTTACTTGATAGATAATTATATTAACTTTTAATCATAATCATAGATTAGGTATATAGTTTTTAAATGCTATTCAATTTACATTATAAATAATAATACCTATGATAACTAAATATTATTTTATTATTATAACCATAAAATATTTTTTCTAATAAATATTGTTTAATTCAAAAAATAATTGACGTTTTTTTCAAATATTCAAATATTTTTTAAATAATATTTATCATAATTTTTTCATAAAATCTCTCTGCGTGAAAAATAAATAAAATTACATTTTAATATTATATTGCGATTTTCGTATTATTTTAACACTTTGAATTTTTATTTTTACACCTAGGTACCTTTATAACGACTTACAAATATAATTTATAATACTTTTAATAATTTAATTGATATATACATACAAAGTTTAAACAATTTTAGTAATGCATGATCTGAATATGTTTTGAAAATTAGAAAACTTAAGTTATTGTTGATGAAATTTTTTCTTTTTTATAACATTAAAACGTTTGAAAATATATAATACAAGTATTTAGAACCCTACGTCATCTGTAACTGTTTTAGCAAAATTAAATGACTTACAAATTTTACAATAATTAAACATATTTGTGTATTATAAGATTGAAATACTTGAAATAATCGAAAAATTTTGACATTATCATTGATACACGTATTGCACCATTTTTGTTTCAATTATAAATTTATAACGGTAATATTCTGATTTTAAAGTCTATGTTTTAATTAAATATTTCAGGGAAAATGCGGAACTTATATACCGGAGAAATATACCGTAGAACATAATCCAAATCTTCGACAGACGTATCAAGCTACGTATAATCCTATAGAACAGCAGCCACGAATAGTGTATGTCGACAAAGACCAATACCCAAAGGGATGGAATGAAAATATCATAAAAGACGATCGTTCACCAATAATATTCACAGACAAAGCGCCAATAACAATTAACTACAATGGTAATTCGGGACAATCGTTATATGGATTTAGAAACTCCTATCCAACCGTACTGACGTCTCAAAATAAAATCAAGGTGAACTATGATGGTTTGCATGACGATGATATACCACCAAGCAACCAAAACATTTGCCTGTTTTTGTCAAAAACCATGGTCGAGCTACCGAGTGGTATAGTTATGCCATATTTAAAATTCAAGACCATCAGTCCATATCTGTCAGAAGACCAAAAATCCGATATCCGAATCATACTTGACAACAAAAACATGGCGTACGAAAAATTCCAAGAAACATTACGGTATTACGGTTGCGACAATTTAGAGGACTCACAGCAGCAATCGGAGGTAAATTTGACCAACTACGTCACGTTAGCCAACGGAACGCAAGTGGAAATGAACGAATACCGGAACATAGTGAGCAGTATAACTTCAGGTTCGGAAACATTGATGGTACCCAATGTCGTTAACGGAAAGTATTCGTTATACCGTTCGCTCATAGCGGACGAATTACCGGAACTGATACCATCGGCATTCGTCATCACACACGCTGGAATAGTAGTACCGTTTTCGTTGTATTACGCTGTGGATACGGAATATTTCCAAAGGCCGCCGGCAGCTGTTGAACTCAGGATTCGACAGATCAAATGGCGCGACGGTAAACTCGTGGACGTACAAACCATAAGAAACGTAATCGATGCACTGAAGACACCGACAATAATCAGTTTCGTTTTCCCGAACAAAAAACGCGTGCCGTTCGTTCAGTGTAACGTTAAAGAATCAACGGAATTATACGAATACGATCCCGAAAAAGTAGTAGTGGACGTGGGCCAGTGCAAAAGCATTATATTGTCGCATTTCAATGATATCCTTTTTGCAATGCGTATTCCTGATGACAGAGGTGACGGTAAATACAAACGGTTTAATCCACCTGTGTTCGCGTGGGATCCAAAGTGTATGAATAATGCTACTAGCACACAATCAAACGGGAAATTTTGCAATAAATCGAATGAGGTCGACGACGGGAATTATTCAGGATATTCGATTCATGTGATAAATAAAGACAAACAGCGGCCAGACGATAAGCCCTCCGATAAGCAACTCACCGTTTTTGGTCCCGTGTCGGTGATGGAAAAAACGACAGGCTTAGATTCGAATGACACTATACGAATAATACTAACTAGTTCGTCGGGAACAAATGAAATAAAAATTACAAATGTGCTTAACAATAAAAAACCATTGATATACGATATAACCGATAAACCGGTTAATATAAGAGATTTAAAAAATGATATAATATCGCAAAACGAATGTGACTATTCACCAATTCTAATAAATAAAATAAATATTTCCAATATTACAAACACTATGAATCCGCAGAACAATAATTGCACCAATGTTTTAAAAACTTGTCTGAGTGAATCAACAAAAAATCAAACTATTACTGGATGTAACAAAAAAAATCAAACAGCAGAAACTGTAATATCAACCACGGAACTTACAAATATTACTACCAATCTTAATACATCGGGAAAAACTAACAACATGACTATAGAAAATGAAAATAATGCTACTAAAACTCCAATATGTACAGAAAAATATACAAAAGATGAACAAAATAATTATTGTAGTCCAGTAATTGAAGGAAATGAAATACCTATAATAAAAAACACCGAAAAAAACCAAACAGAAATCAAGAACATAACACTAATTACACAAACTGTTGCAGAAAATGCAATTTGTTTAAATAATACTCATACTGACAAAAAATTTGAACCAAATAATACTAAAAACAATACCGTAACTACAGAAACTAAAAATTCTACGACTCCTAATCCAAAAATTAATCAAAATAGTTCTAATCCAACTATTGAAAGTAATAATACGTTACCTATAATAAAAGATGACTATAACCAAACTGAAACTAAGAACTTGACTATAATCAATAATACACCAATTATTACAAATAATATAACTGGTGCGAATAATACTAATGTATACGAAAAATATGAACCCATCCAGATTGACAACGATACCGGAACTATGGAAATAAGAGATATAACTGATCTGAACCAAACTGCAGTGCTAACTGAGAATTCTCAAAATGGTTCTAATCCAGTGATAAAAACTAACGAAATAGCAGAGATAACTAATACCGACGATTACCAAAATCCAACAGAAACTGTAAACACAACTGAAAGTACGCCAAACCATACGAAAAATATGGACGCGCCAAATTCGAGTAGAATAGACGACAGTACATATACCGGAAGTAATGAAACTCCCAACGTCATCAATACTGCGGAAACGATACAGACACCAGAAGCGGCAATAACATCCGACGCAGACGACATCGGACCAACGGAAAATCCTGACACAATTTCTGAAACAAATACTGCAACTGACGATGATAAGTTAGCTGACGTGTACAACATTACAACGACTGGAATGGCGGAACCAACTCAACCTACTCCAATCTATACTGAAACCATTAAAACTCCAAATAACGGTTCCGTGACGAATAACGCTACTAAAATCGTAAACATCGTCGTATACTAAATCCCTTGTGAGGCGAATAATGCAAACAATTACAAAATATACTAACTCGCGACCGTCGCGATCTTACTAGTTTTTAATTTTATTTCTGTAGAGTACAATTTTTAGTAAGTATTGTGTATTTTTTTTTTCTATTTTCTCGATCTAGACCCCGTTGTCCGTTTTCCAAATTCCTGAATCCTGACATACGTAATATACTGAAATATGCTTTCTCCGTTCACGGTTCACATATTCCATTTGCAATAATAATGGTTTTTTTGATTGCTGTGTGTAATAATTAAATTATACATTTCACGTTTAATCTTAAATGCACTACCTATAATAGAAATTATTAATATATTATATAGTACATAGGTACAAGTAATATAAATAAATGTATAATTATGTAATACTATTTTATAATTTAAATATAAAATGTACACCGGTATCTGTGGTAATATAAATTATATTATTTTGTATATTGCACATTTCTTTTGCTGTGTTTATGAGATACGAACAAAATATCCTAAACAAGGAAATCTCTATGAAGGTTATTGACGCTTGACATGCGTATAACGCATAAGCGCGGGTTCACCAAATATTTTATAAACAATACATTTTTTTTCAAATTAAATAGGTGTAAACGTCAGGTAGGTAATCAAAAAAAGTTTTATACAGACGAATATGATATAGTCGACGTTTAAATATCCTGTTGAATCACGAATGTGATATACTGATATGTGAATAGCCATGAAAATGTACATGATGTTCGCACTCTGCGGTTTGATGATACCTCTTTTACCCGTGAGTACTACTGCACAATAATATAAATAATCATATTTACGTAAGTTTATCTATTTATTTCCAACAAATTCAATAAATATCGTACTAGTCATGACTCTTTTTTAGAATGGGCATTATTTTAATTTTAATAGTACCACAACAAAAAAAAACCAGCATATATTTTTTACAAACCACTAAATTTATAAAATTAAATATCTGTATGTTGCATAAAAAAGTAAGGTATAGGTAGTAATATATTATGTTGTATGATAGTATATTATCTACTTTTTACATTTTTACAATTTATCATAAATATCAAATAATCATTGCAGTAAACTTCATCAAGTAGATGCTGTTATTTATTCTTTAGTTGCAACTTAGGTTATTAAAACTCATTTAAAAGGCCACCACACAATGCCATCATAACGAGTATTGACGAGTTTTCAACAATAGTTCAACGATAAGAATGTAATATAAATAATAATTTCAAGACGTTTTATTGTTTCAAAGTCCACTTCCTGTGCCATACACGCGCAGACTGACTGTAAACCAATACAGTATAAAATATTATACATATATAATATATTTTTATAGCAAATTTATAATAATCACTAAATTGATTAAAAACTAGATTTTAATATATAACGTATACATTGTTAATTTTAAACATTAGATTTTATTAGATTTCACTATAGTTAAAAGCAGTAAAAAGTAATTTAATTGATACCTTAAAGTTTAAGTTTGAAATGTTGTCTCTAAAATTTACATATTTTTGTAAAATGCTTAAAACATTTATATAGTTAATAAAATAAAACGCAAAAACTAACAAAATGTATTCCAAAAAATAGTATCTTCATACTGATCACTGAGTTTTATATACCGATACATAATATTCGTCAATAATTAGCTTAAAATAATTGAATTTTTGCAATTACTATTTACTATACATTTGCCCATTACGTAGTACGTAATAATGAAATTAAAAAAAAAAAGTTTTAAGTAGTGATCCGCAACTAAGTTTTCAGGTCTATTGCATTTATGGTTTTAAAATGTTGTCCATAAGTCTTTCCAATTTTTTTATTTGCATTTTTCCATGCAGGATATAATTATAATTTATAAATATACCTACTTTTTAAAATCAAAAGCCTAAAACTAATAATTCTTATATGAATCCACAATTTTCGACCACTTAAAAAAAAAAAAAAACTTATCTATAGTAGCGAGTGTTCTGATGCCACCACCACCACTAATCTAACTTAACCACCGCCTATTGATGAAGGCATCAGAACCCCTCTTTTACACTACTATCTATAAATTCATCAAGATCTGTTATGTCAGGGACTACTTTTAATTACTTATTTTTTTTTAATTTTCAACACAAAAATGTTGAATATAGGTAATTGACTAACAAAAATAATAATTGGATATAACATTTTGGACTTACATTTTATGTTTGGTCAAAACAACCTAAATAACTGTGTTAAATATCGGTGTAGTGGCTTACGTGCTTATAGTCTTAGAAGGTAAGCCCACGGGCAAATGCATTTGATTTGTCACGAATAATTTTATTAATGTAAAAATTATTTAATACATTTATACAAATATGCAGGAACATATTTCAATTGAATATCTGGATCGAATTTTTAAACAATCTGTTTAATCTGTTTAAACATGCTGTTTAAAATAATAAAATTATAGGTATTATTATTGTATTAGCATTATAATAAAACAATTGTTAAAGTAAGCGGGTTTTCTCAACTTTTTTTTTCTTTTTTCGGACGACGCTGCAGCGCCAATGCAACTGTTGTTTAGACATCTTGATCAAGTCGTTTTTCGAGACGTTCAATCCTAGCGTGGAAACAGGTCCTGGACGGTTAATCAGCCGGCACCGGTACGACGATGGCTTCATGCCCGACTATCCCGCAGCGGTTATCGGTCATGACGGTGAGTGGGTTAAGCCGCCCAATGACGATGATGACAACGGTAGCGTGCCGACAGACGATTACGTGGACGATGGTGCAGATGGTGATACCGACGGTGATGACGCGAGCTCAGGAAGGGGTACAAGTAGTGGCAAGGGTGCTGGTGGTACGAATGGCGTTAGTGGCGGACGTCGGTTGGGATATTCTATTCAGCAACATAAATCCGACGCGGCCATAGTTGCAGCCGCTGCTTCGGGTTCCGGCTCAGCGACGTGGCCCGACGACTATCCGCCGTTTTCGGATTTCATCGTCAGTTTGCTCAAAACGGTTCAACTGACGCCCCGTGCAACGCTGAAAAGGTCCAAAAGTAAATCTAGCGAAGCCCGATCCACGAAGACGACGACTGTGCTGCCGGAACGTCACGACAGCATCCAGAGAACGTGGTAACAAAATTCGGCGACGGATGTGGGTGAGCATAACACGAGGGGTCAAACCGTATTGAAATTGGTTTTATAAACCTTTCTTCGAGTAACATAGTTCATAATGTAATATGCGATAGATGATAAAGTTATATTATGTTATATACTAATGAGTCGCGCGAGTTTACAAAAAAATGTACACACTTCCTCCTTCCTGCAACCCTCGCAAACGTCAAAGTTTCAATGATATAATAATACACCAATATATTATACCCGTAATTTTTAATTATTTAAGATTTATTATGTATACGTAAAATGGTTGTATGAAAATTTTCATATTAACGTACGTTTTAGTTTAATGTACAAGACGGTAATTTTACGTAACATATTATATTATAATATTATGAATGATTTAGTTAAAACAAAAAGATTATGTTAATTTCTAAGTGCAATATTCTATTGTGTAAACGTATTAAAATAATAGGATTATAGTTGTTTTGCTGCTGTAGTCGATTTACAACGTGAATGAAACTTTAACATTTATCCAACATTTTAAAATTATATTCAAGTTCCAACTCTGAGGTTTGTACGTATATATAGATTGTGTAAAGTGGCAAAAATTAATGCTGTTTATGTATATTAATTTAATTTTTGGCTTAAAGGCCGAGATAAAATTATGAATATTTTATACTTGTAATGGACAAGTTGTGCTGATTTGCACGGACTACTGGCACGTTTACTATATTATGTTGTTTATGTTAAAATATTCGAGAGAAAAAACAATCAACATCCCAGTGTTTGTTCGATACGTTATACTATATTATAATATACCACGATGCACATTTAATTTAAGTCAGTATATTATTATTATATGTACACGCTCGTGTATGTATAATTGTCACGTTGTTATTATAGTTTTTAGTTTTTTATATTAACTCGGCATGTGATTGTTTCTTTTTTTTAATTATTTACAATTGTAATATTATATTTCGTATACATTACTTAGCTTATTCATATTACCTCACTGTTTAAAAATAAAACGTAATCGAGAAATGACCCGAATTTAAGTGTTTTTGAACTTTTCCTTTATTTATTTTTCTAAATGAGAATTACATATTATATCTTTTTTTCTTTTTTTTTTTTTTTTTTTTTTTTTTTTTTTTTTTTTTTTTTTTTTTTATTAAGAAAAATAATTTACAATCTTTATATATTATATCTAAGTTCAAAATTAACACCCATGATTTTAATGAATAACCCATGAATATTAAGCGATTTTTTTTTTAAGTTTCAACTCGATAATAGCGAAAACTTGGAAGCACCAAAATTTATTTTTCACTTGTTATAAATATAAAATAATATTGTAAATATTTATTGAGTCTTAGTAATAGTATACTTTAAATGAATGGTTAAATAGGTAGAACATCAGTAATATAAAATAAATATATGGAGACGGATGGATGATAAAAACCCTAATCCAGAATTAAAACAATAATATCGTGATGGTACGAACTTTTATTGAAGCTTTTTATACCATTTCAGTCGTTCTTGTTTTAGATATATTATAAGTTAGGTTAGGGTTTATATTATGCAATAAAAATATAATAAAATAAACAATTAATTCACCAACATTTATCTAACCAAATATCATGGGTAAGAGAAGCTTCTTAAAATTATAAAACAGATTAAATAAAATTCATTTTTTGGTAAACCAAATCATTTTTATTAATTTTTCTTTTTAATAAATTAATAAAAATTTTACATTTTTTCGTCAAAATCACTAATTTTATCAAATTAAAATACGACATTTAACTTTTTACAATTCTTTCATTTGAAATTTAAATACACCATAATATTATACTTATTGCCTATAACAAAAAAAAAATCGTGTTTATAATGAAAAAGTGAAGACATGCTAAATAAAAATATAGATTTTTCATATTATTAATATGAGAGGATTCGTAAAGATTAGTAACCAGTTGTAAACCATCTGTAAAGGACCGTATCAAAAATACATTCTATAATATACCTAAATTCAAAGGTTAAATATGTTATATACTTGTACTAGCTTAATTACCCGGCTTCGCCCGTGAGTAGTTTGTGCTTTCTCAAAATGACTGTAATGACGAATAAAATTAAGTTGTGAATAATAGATCTCGTAGGAGTATTTGGTACAACTTTGTGAAAAAAAAAATGTTAAATACTGTCGTCACAAAACAAGAATATAAAAAAAACCAGTTCGTTTTAAATAAATAGGAACAAAAATACAATCCCCCTCCTCTTCTCCACAGACAAAAAAATGAAAAATTGGGCGACGTGATGACACTCAGGAACGGTGCATATTAGTTGCCTCCCAAAATATACGAATTGCCTCCCATCCTTATCGTAAATAAAAAGGTTAATTTACACTAGTTGCCTTCGATGACCAGGTAGTTCATAATTATATACGAGTTGCCTCCCATATAAAATTAAATAGTGGTTCATAAACTTCACTAAACAGTTCCACATAAATAGGCAACTATGTAGTGTGTGTCCCTCAGGAAGTACTTTGAATAACTCTGTGAAAAAAAAATTCGAAAAATGTTAATAGTATTGTCATAAAATGGGAACGTAAAAAAGGTCTGTTCTTTTATATATATATATATAAGGATATAAACAGACAAACACGATTGATTATAGTAGCAATAGGACCTCGCCGCCTCAGTAACATCGCCGATTTCAAATAATATACAAAAAATAAAACTCGTCAACTCAATATTAACTGTAATAATATGTTTATTAACATACCTATTTATTATATTATATTATGAATTACGATATACCTTTAAGTATAAATAGCATATATAAAAATATAAAATTCCAATGTTCGAAGTTCTACACGATAATAAATGGTGAGATTCTAAGGCATTTTTAATAAATTATAACATTATTATATATTTATATCGTACTATCAGCAGTCTCTAGAAAAAAAATTCAATTGATAAGTTACATATTATTACAATAATGTTGAAATGCAAAAAAATAAAATGAATAATTTTTTAATATAGGTACTATATACTTAAAAATAAATTTTTGTAACGTTATAAGTTATAATGAAACTGATTAGTACATCGAACAATAAATTAGTGCAATAACGCAATAATAAAACATTATGATATTTTAATTATTTACCATATTTGATATTATTATGCAAAGGTGTTTGTTGAGAAATTCTGTTTTACTGAAAACACCGTATGGAAGTATGATATTTTATATTATATGATATTATATTGTGGCAAAATGAAGAAAACTCCATGAGTCATGAAATTTGTATGACCCTTAATAGTTATATAGATTATTCAATGAGCGTTTTAATCGAATATTATATAATATCGTTATCGATAAATTTCCACGTTATTTACATTTTTTTTTTTTTAACAACTGTTCCAGGAAACACTAATCGACATAAAGTGTAATTTTATATAAGCGTATATTCCTAACATTAATTAGTATGATTATAACATAAAAATATACTATGTTCATTGCAAACATACACTACACGTGGCTATACTTTTCTGTGGTTAGGCTAAAAAGTATTATCCATTTAAAATGAACACTTATAATGCTTGATAATGTATACAATGCGCGAAATAATTAAAAGGTCATAATCTAAAGCCTAATATTTGTTGTGTGATTTAAAAATATTAACTATCTTATAGGTTAAAAATAATTTTAAAATTTTTACTCTTTGACCTTTATGAGTAAAATATTAATTAAGTATGAAAACATGATGTAACTACTCGTACATACCTATATTAAAATATAAAACAAATTTTTGGTTAATATATGTTAATAAATACAATTTTCGTTGGAAAATTCAATGAGCATATAGTATCATATACATACATAAATATATTATTATATATATATATATATATTATTGACACACTTATCTCCCCTTTCCATCCAATTATTTTGGTAAAAGATTTTGATAGATTCGGAAATCCCTCAAAACTTTTCAATTGTAAATGGTGTGTTCCTATTATAAAATATTAAAGTTTAAAAAAATCAAATTGAGAGTGTCTTTAATGAGTGACTACTAATGGTATCACTAATAACCAGGTTCTAATACTATTCGGATAATCCGGATATCCAAATACGAATAATATAACGGGTAAAATCCGAATTATCCGTATAGTCCGGATATTTTATACTTACGGCTTACTTATAAAGAATTTAAATATTCGTCATTTAATTTATAGGTTTTAGACTGTATTTGATTTAAGTTAGTAAAGCTAAAAATTAAAAAAAAAATAATGTAGCCATATAGATACGTTTTTTGGCCAACATAGCAAAGAGAGAAACAATGGTTATCAATCGCAAAACATTTGAGTGTTAAAGAAACAAAAATTTAAGTAAAAGTGAAAAAAAATATAATAATTTTGTGATTAACCAATTGTATTGGCTAAACATTTTTTAAACAATACCACATACAAAAGTTTAATATCAACGATTATGGGCTTTATGAGTATTGATTATGTACTTTATGTGATAAAAAAGTAATCTGTGTAATATAAAATATAATATAATGTGTAAATACTTTTATTATATCTGCTTGTTTTTCGTATTAAGTCACTATTATTTTCACCCTTAATCAATTAAATTATATAATTTACTTTTTTTGGATTCCCAGTTATATTGAGATACACGATAATGAGTTTATAGACAACCTGACCAAATCTACATCTAATTTAATCTGCCCTTCGTCTCTTAATCAATTACTCCAGTCTGATTTAACCCTTTTTGTAAAACGTTACATCTCTAATCTATCGTTCTCATACTGGAATAACTTACTTGCAGACTTCGCTTTGAGATATAGTCATTATTACTCCCACTATCCTCAAAAAAAACTTGATTTAAAAATTTAAACTTACATAGAACATATGTAGTTCAATTTAAAAGTTAATATATAAAACACAATTTATTACTGAGTCGCTCACTCAAACACTTAAACATTGCTTAAATTATTCACCATTCTATACACTTCATTTAAATGAATATACAAGTATCTGTAACCTCCCTTATATTTTATTTGCTGCTCTGTTCTACTGGCTAAAAAGCTAATTTCAATTAACTAACTATAAGAAACACTTGATATTTCTTTCAATCTCCACTCTATTATAAATATTGAATCCGTAACTACCATAAAAATTGTAATCATTTTTGTTTTGGAATAAAATAATTTGGCTTTATCATATAATATACTTATAATTTATTTATTTTGTATTTAATTATTTTATAACTGTTGAAGTATCTTAATCTGTAAACTAGCAGCTAATAATTATAATCATAAAAATATATATATATATTATTTATACTACACACAATTGTTAATTTTCGATTGAGCATGTTCCGATGAAGCGATTGTAAAAACGAATACGATTAAAAGTTAACTGATTATACCTATTTTATCAAACAGTACGATTTTTCAATTTTAGAACTCGTGTAAAATCCACTAAATTTTGACCAGTAAAATAAACGTGTTAAATTCACTAATTTTATTTTTTCACAAATTTTATACTTAAATTTGATACAATACACGTTTTCTTTCCAAATTTCCAGTTCGATGCCAGTTGTAAGCTTAAATGTTTGATTTTTTGATTATTGCTGTGTAGATTATGTTAATTGATAATAATATATTAATTAAGTTGACGTTCTGTTCTGATAAAATATATTAATAGTAAGTAATAATTACTACATTTTCCCAACTTTATATAAACATAGAACATCAATAGATCGGTCACATTCGTTTAATTAACAAAGGCTTAAAAGGTATCCAATAAGCTGATTGCTTATGGCGAAGCGTTTTGTAGAAAATTTTCAATAACACTTAAAACAATATTATTTTAATACCAAAAACTCTCATTTTATCATTATCATTCAAACGTATGTGTTTTAGTTTTTAAATAAATTTTAAAATTTATTCTACCATATAAATCATATAAATTAATTTTAAGAATCCTACATAAATTTACTGCTAAAAAAATAAAACTTTTTGCACCAAAATTATTATTATATAGTTTATAATAATTTTTTCTTTGTATTCATTAGAGCCGTTTGATATTGTATTATGTCTGTATATAGATACAATGCAATTATTACATTTTTTTTTTTTAAAGAGGCTTTTGACGTTATAAACTATTAATTCTTGATACACATAATATAAACTTAAATATTTTATAAAACTCTATTGCATATTGATATTACATATATTAACCTCAATAACCGTTCGTTTACTTTAGTAATAAATATGCTCAAGTTAAATACAATTAAGCCATATAAGTACACAATATCATAATAGTATACCGTCCTATTACTTCTTACAGTTATTATTAATTATTTTTAATTGATAAACTTAAACCGATCAAAGATCGTTGTATTACAATACATCATATATACAAAAAAACATGTTAATGTTTTTCTATATTTATATAGATATTTATTCGATAGCAGCTTAAAAAAATATAGGTAAGAACTTATTAATTAATATTCAATTTAAACGGAGAAAAGTAATAGATTATTTACATACATGATACATCACTCGTTAAACTGTTAATTATTTTAATACGTTTAATGTTTTAAAATAATAATCTTATAATCTTATTGTTTCTGTGTATGGAGAATAGAGATATTAAAGAAAATTAGAATTTTGAATATTGTATTCATATAATATACAACTAAAATAAATTTTTTTCCTATAATTTCTTATTAAGAAAAATTCATATTGATATTAATTCCAAACAAAGTTTTTGATGAGTAATATGACCAGGTGTGTAATTATAAAGAATAATACCTTTATATCATAATAAATTATTATAAATAATTGATCTAATTAGTTTATTCATTCATAATTATCATATATCCCTGATCTCGTGATATAATGAGACTTAGTGCGTAAATTAATACATTAGATTGAATAATAGTGTTTTGAAGGATATTTAATTTTGTTTTCGTATTCTGATAATCTGAAAAATGTGATTATATCAAATAATAACATTGTGATTTATGAATGTTACGTACATACAAATTTATAATACACATTAATATATATTGTTCGTTAGGTTAATGGTATAGTTATTTTAAAATTTTAGTGTAACCTAATTCGATTCTGATTAGAATGCATAGATATGATGTTTATAATTATATGATTTATGCTATATATACTGATATGCTTATTAATTTAACAATATTCAAAAAATATACACACAAAAAAAAAAAAATCGATGTAAAATTAAATAATTAATGCAACTATTTTATTTATATAAAATAAAATCATCCAAAATCATCCTGGTGAGAGGCAGACGATGGTATTTTTTTAGGAATCAGTGGTAAATTCGGATCCGAACGGATTCAAAAAGCCGTCATTCGTCAACGCTTAACAGTAAATTCCGTCGTACCATAATGAGTATTAGGTCTGATAAACGACTGAAATACGTGTCCGCCAGGCCCATCGATGACGACCTTTCGTATTTTCTTCGGGACCAATCCGCCGAATAGCTGCTGTTTCTGCCTTCCGATGGCCGAGACACTTCCGCAATCGCGGTAATGTTCGTTATTGCGGTGTAGCAGTTTGGATTTTATTGGCGACCAGTAATACGGAGACATCGGGATTATGACGTTTTTATAAGGGAGGAGACCACGGTTATAATTGTATCGGGGCATCGCTACGGTGGCGGTCGTTGCGATTGAAGCCGAAGCAGCGGGCAACTGCGTAAGTGATGGAAGAGAGCCGCCGATGCCATTACCAATCAGGCCAATATTCCGATACTGTTGACGTCCTTGGTGATAAGCGCCTGCTACGTTTCAAAAAAACATAACAATTATGTATCAAAATATTTGTAAATTCGCTTTGTACATAATTTTTTAATTATTATGTATCGGTTACTTATATCAATAAATTATTGTTAATCTGTTAGTATTTGATTTGTTTGATTATAAAAAAAAAAGTAATAAGATATATTGGGAATATCACGTTGTTTCGTGACTACCTCATGAAATATATATTAAAAACATAATTTTAGATACTAAGTGTAACCATTTCAGGATTTAATTTAATTTAAATGATTTAATATATCTAAGATAACACGGAAATATACACAGCTTTACCTTGCACTATATCATATTAATATAATAATATATAACATAACCATAATTTACCAATGTGTATTGATTGATTAATGTACCTAATATGTATATAGCTTTAATGTATATACATATATAAGTATGTATGTATATTATGTTAACTATATTATGGTTATTATATACTCAATACATATATTATTTAGTTATGTTTTACTTCGAGTATCGAAGATATGTCCAATGCTATCACTATATTTATCAAAATTTGCAAAATATTAAGCAACAGTCACAAAACCTTATAGGTAGACAAGTATAAGTCAGTAAGTATTATACATATTACATTATTTCTTTTATCATTTTAATTGTAATAACTTTATATTATATGGTCACTAAGTTTCTGACTAGTAACTATTATAATAATAGTAATTAGTAAGAAACACAATACTGCAAGAATGAAGTGAATCGTAAAAAGATTTTAGACCATATATCACCGTTGATGTACAATAATTATTGTTATCAGATATTTGAATAGGTACAACTTGTTGATTTTCAAAACATCCAGTTCACGAGCCCTCACCGATTGAAAATCCGTCATCATAAAATGGGTCAATGTTTAATGAATGAAATTTGATACCTTCTTCTAATTATTAGAGGAATCTAATATAAATACAGTGTTGTATTTGTCCTGAATCATATTATATAAGAATTATTAGATAGGTGTATATTAGATGGTTGAATGAGAGCCACTCCTTTAAGTGAATCTTTGGATGGAGAAAAAAGTGTTACTTCACAAATGAAAAAAATTCAGGAGTCGTTTATTTGGGCAAATGACTTACAATAATATACTTTATACAGCCGAGTAAAACATACGTATATCATTTGGGCAGGAAATTAACTATTGTTTTAGAGAATTTATCTTTACATTTGTTGTATATGCTTACCTAAAATCTTAAGCATCGGATTAAATTAAGAGAATTCAATACCTACGTGTAAAAATAAAAGTAAATAATATAGACTTTAAAAAATGAACCCAAATAAAATTGTACGTTTAACTTTAATTGTGAAACCCAAAAACGAAATTATTTATACCGATTAGAATATTGAATAGGAAATTAATAACAAACATTAAGCATAGAAAAAAATAAGTATAGAATATATTTTAATCTATTAAACGGTGAACAAATTGTGTACGAAAACACTATATTTCTACATTACTTAATAGGTTCTATAAAAATTACGTATGAACAGTTTTATTATACTCAAAAAAATAGTACTTATAATTTTGTTTTGTAAATTAAGAAATAAATATGGTAATAATAATAATATGTTCAGCTAATGTTAAATGGTTATGTCATTGTGTGATTCCAAAAATTATAAAATAAATATATTAAACATATTATTATATGTTCATAAAAAATTTTCCCAGTGAAGTGTTATTTTGGGTCATTTTCATCTAAATAAAAATTCAAATATCCAACAAGCCCAAACTTAGGAATATCTAATTCAAATTACTATTATTTGACAGTAAATATAATAGGTTAGTATGTTAAATAAAAGTTTATCGAAACAAATAATACAATTTTGGAAATTCAATTTTACTTACCGGTGCCGTATAAGCAACCTCTGTCTATTCGATGGTGATGAGGACCGTAGTAGCGCCCGCTAATGATATTTGCCTGATATAAGTACATAACGAAATTAAAATTAATCATGTAACACGTCTGCATATATATATACGTACCACGGTTTTAAATCAAATATACGTAGATCATAAAATTAAAGATTATTTCATAACTATAATCATTGCACGGCCACTTACCTGAACGGTACGATCGACTACGCCACAGCAGCAGACCAATAAGAAGATCAACGTCGCGTGATGAAAATTCATCTTCATTCTTCTGATACTTAAAAAATGTTCTCGGTCCATCAGTGAAGAACTCTCCGACAACTGTAATATATAATAATATATTTTATATAAATACACACGTAATACTAATAAAATAATATCAACTTAATTCCAAACACTTCTTTATACTATTAAATCGTATTGATACATATAGGTTACACATGCGTGGTACTTATGCGAGCTGAACTTCATACGACAGCCATATTTATATAATATTATATTGTGTATCCCGGGTACACGACTCGTTCATGAGACATATTACTATGTATTATTATTATTGATCGGATCGGATTCGCGTCAAATTATCACAACACGCAATTATAAATATGCACACGGCCGTTTGACGTTTTTCGGGATTTGTGCGGTGTATATACATATTTAATAATATTATCATAAAATAGCTTCAACAACAATATGAACATGTCATACACACGAGAGTTCGAAGGTCAGAAGAGAATAGCTCAAGAATTTGGCGCGATTGTTTTCGGATGCATGACGTTGTAATACAAATTATTATAATACAAGGTGTTTTGTGTACTCAAGAACGGAGATGTATTAATAGATGTTATAATTCTAACATATTAGACCGAGATAATTGTACCAAAAAAGACTATAAATCTACTTATATTATCTAGTCATATAGTTAGATATTTTTACTTATATTTTGATGCAACATGTCACAAAACACGATGATTTCAATTTTCAATATTTTTTTTTCATATTATACCTAACCTTACTGGGTGATTTATCAAGCACGTGCATTGTTCAACTTTCTTATATCCTGTAGGTTTCAAATTCGAATAAAAAAGTCATTCAATTTGACTTTAAAAATCTAAAGCGGCGTTGTGTATATTTATAAATTATAATACAAGATACATAATATTTTAATACCTACCTACCCACTACACCTCTATTATAAAACTAATAATGATTATACATCATATCGTACCATAAGTTAAAAACAAACCACCCATGCATAAGAATTTTCACCATGAAAACCTACGTGGGGGTTCTAAAAACCTTTTTAAATGCTACTACTATACCTTATTAAATAGATGCCTTTTTTTTAATTTTATGTATCTAAATCCAAAATTTGAGTGAGTTATTTATGAGTTATTAAATTAATTGTATAAAGGATAATAATCCTTATTGGTTTTATAAATATAATATGAAATAAATTCGTATAATATAAGCAATAATCAACTTAGAGCATATATACTTATTATAATCAGATATTTTTTATAAACATAAAATGGTATACTAATTATTATAATTTTTAAATCGTCTTAATCTCACGCAGTCTTTTACTCATTAGCAGGGTCCTTTGAACATAAAGTTTAATATAATTAAGGAACTATATCGTACAAATTACGAATTAAAAACATCAGTATTTAAGAAAATATACATTCTGTTTAATAATTTATAGAAAACAAAGAGGGTTCCCATTTTAAAAAAGGAGTTTGTATAGTTGAGCATCACCCATTTACGCCAAAAATATACGAGATTATTTATATATGTATCATATTATTTAATATACCTAATATTAAAATCTATGACCTATTAAAATTATTATGGCCAATTATGTGTTTGCTTTTTATATTTTAAAATTATTTCAATAAAAGTGCAAAACAACTGTTTAATCATGTTTTACGAACTTTGAAATCAATTAAAATAAAAAAAATACAAATAACTGCCATATTATTTAGTTATAAATTACAGTATTGTCATTTGTCATATTACAATAATTTTTCACTTTTTAAACTAGGTATATCCCATTATAACATTTATGCAAGTTACAGCATAATCCATAAAATATGTATACTGTACAAAAAAAAAAACAAAACGTATAATAATAAGTTGATATATTGTATTCGTATTATATATATATAATTATTTATAACGAACAGAAAATAAAAACAATTTTTTTTATAAATTAATTGATATCAATAATACACGATGTGATAGTCTGGTAATACACAAAAACAATTATAATAATAATTAGCATATTATACTAAAGATTAGTATAAGTAAATCACAGGTCTTGTCTTTATATATCTACCAGAAAAATATCATTCGACAAACATTTACTTATTACAAATATGAAATAACTATTAATTATCTATTATGATCAATAATATTGTACCTACTTATCATATCGATTGTTTTAAGTATCACCTGGTATGATGCTTATCAACATTTTTCCTTTTCGAATTTTCATTTTTAATTTTAAATTTTGATTATGTCAATTCTGAATCATCTCATGATGAGGTAAATAGTGGTGTTTTTATTTCGCATATTTCTGCATATTTTAAAACAAATACATATCATTGTATATTTTAAATAAAATGAATATTATTACATATTTTGGTTCGCGGTGAATTGGTCGCGAACAATTGATCGCCGGTGAATTGATCGCGGGCGAATTGATCGCCGGTGAATTGATTGCGAATACAATTGGTCGCCAAGATAATTGATCGCCAAACGAACTTTTTTAGTTTTTTAAGTATTTTATTTTAAATTTTCATTATTGAGTTCGTATCATTATATTGTTATTAAGTATTTATTATTGATATTATATACCCACATGGGCATTATTAATTTATTTCTGTCGTTTCTAATCACGGCGGCATAATCTCAAATTGTTCGTCAAAAGCCAACGTCTTCTCATTGTTAAATTATCAATACCGTGAAGTCACCTAAGTTTATTATTATATAATTGTCAAATTAACTTGTATTAGTATTAAGGTGATATCAACATGGCCGTGATTAAATTGTTATTATTATTATTATCCACTATATACATAATCTATTTATTATTTTTTTTTTAATTAAAATTAGTATTTAACTGTACGTTATTTAAAAATAAAACAATAAGAATACTTAAATATTCTAAAATAATAAACATAAAATTCGGTAATATACCTAGGATAATAAAATACTTAAAAAACTAAAAAAAGTTCGTTTGGCGATCAATTATCTTAGCGACCAATTGTATTCGCGATCAATTCGCCCGCGATTAATTCACCGGCGACCAATTCACCGGCAATCAATTGTTCGCGACCAATTCACCGGATACCGTATATTTTGATTGTGAAAACGCGAAAAATGCATGTTTTATGGTATATTTTGTTACTAGACGTTTTTATCGTGTGACATAAGATCATTCAGTTTTAAAAATTTAAAACACCATGTAATTGTTTATGTAATACATTTAATTAGCATGAATAGTTAACAATTATATTTTATTAATTTTAAAACGTATAATTGTTTTTTTTTAGTGTATATTTTTTCATATGTTTGCATAGTTTTAATAAACCAAATGCATATATATCATAAAGTATTAACCGTAGTCTGTAGAAACTCGAAACATTTCACTGTTCCTTAAATCATCTCACCTGATGGTTGTATTGTTATCGCTGTAATAATAATTAATAACATCGCATACAGTACCCGTAATATTGTTATTGTTATTATACTGCATAATATGATTATTGTTGTTGATGTCGTCACTGTCGTGTGTAGCCGTCGCTAAAATTTCAAAAACATAATACTTAAAAAAATATACGTACACATAATATAATATTATTATTATTATTACACGTAGTACCTATATATAGTCACGCGCACACTTATAATATTATAAAATAATATGATATCATATTATATGGCACATACCAGCGGATATTTGCATACATGAAAAATGGCGGGCCAAACGAAAAATAATAGTAGTGGTGCGGGTAAGGCGAGTAAACCTATATTATAAATTGTGTACATGCCTACCTAAATTTGTTTTGAAAAACTATAAGTGCGGAATAAAAAAAATTCGAAACTGCGTCGCGGAAACGTTTAAAAAGCGGGCGTCTTCCGATGGACAGGGCACATAGTGCTTACGTATTCTCCACGATGGTATACAGAGCGATTGCGCTTTACGTCGCCGTCCAGGTACACGTCCGTTATAAATTTTAATCTGAGTCATAATAAATTGTTTTAAGATACACCGATTTAACCTGCTACTGCAGATGACACTATTAGGCTAATCGTTTTTGTAGACTTATCCAATAAAATCGGACACTTGCAGGCCGCGTATAAACACTCGTCGTCGTCCACGATATTTACGTATTTCACGATATGACTGGGACCATAAGTCCAGATCGTCTCGTATGTCCGCGCGAGTCGTAGTTCAAAGAGATCACATCAAACACAAATATATTTTAATATTTCGACATTTGAATTCTACGGTGATCGCGCGTTTGTGGTTTCGTTTAGAATACTACCTAATTATATAATATAATATAACAATGATAATAATACATACTGTTGTCAATTTTTCTGTTTTCGGTTTGGCCGTGTCGCAGTCGGTTGTCGTTGCGTCGCCTACCGCCACCATGTTTCACGGTGAAAGCGTCTCTCCGATCGGGACGTTTTACCATCCGACGCCAGCTTCCAGGGCCAGAGGCATACCGGAAGTTGGCAAGCTGCCCAAGACGTCAACCATATCCAAAAAGTTTCCGGTGAGCGGACCTGACACCAAACCGTGGCTCAAACTACAAACTAACGCAGGTAGGTTCTTCAGTCTTCGCCTTTAATCGTTTTATTTAATCTTCAATAAACCATTTTTATGCAAAAGTTCGGAAATTTGATAATACGGGGATGTACTATATGCAGCCTTTATGTTACTGTTATGTGTAATGTACCTATAGGTAGCTAATAATTGATGTGACGTTGTAAACTGTTGATGGAATTAATTTAAAAAAACCTTTATTTGTTATAGAGCATATTATTATTATTATATTATTTTATATTACACTCATATTGTATCAATGTATTATATTTATGATTATGACTAAGGACTTAGGTACTTTTTAACTATTGTGTTTTGTAAAAAGAAATACCCTGGAAGCGTCTACGTCTTTTAACTGCCTATACTACATTAATTAATACTTATTTAGGTACCTTAAAAACACGACGTTGTAGTTACTGATTTATTGTATTTCTTATTTGACGAATGACCCGTGATCAAGACTTGAGCGATTTCAAAATAAATTCTTATCATACGCAACCAAAAGCCTGAATTTCGGGTCTTTTAATAATTGAATCCTTAGACGCGCCTGATTTTTTTCGTGTTAGATCTTATCCCTGTCGAGGATAATATAAATTTACTATTATAATTATCTAATTCATAAAACCACGGAAAGTTTCGCCATTTAATTAATATTTAATACCCACTTTGGCCTATACATATGCTAGATGGATATAGGTAATTCATTTGAACTGTCAATTTTAAACATTCAATTGAAAAAAAAAAGTAATAAGCACTCTGCAAATAATTTTTTCCCCATTCATTCAAATTAATGAAAATACTTGTAACAATTTATTCGATTAGCTTGGTGTTGCACTCTACAGAATCTGTTGTGATCTAACACAGTCTATATTGGCTAGAACGATTTTATTTGACTCGCCACTGTATTTATTGAACTGTAAAAAAAAAATCTGTTTAACATAATAAAGACAGTTTAACACTGTCACTGTTAATATTAGCTTTTAAATTAACTATTTATCTCGTGCATTAATGTACTTCAAAGGAATTCGTGACATTCGGGTATGACACGTGCTTATCCCCTCCTCAATATCGACAAAATCATGTACCTACATCGAACATCTCCACTAAGGCATGTCCTGAATACATTCTTACGATATAGTTAATGGGTACATACCAAATAATAATATAATATTTACGTCTAATCGTAATAATTCTCTATGTACCTAGTCGTATTTTTTGTAGAAAGTTTAAAACCGACACCGAACGTGGATTTTCGTCAATCCGGCACTTTTACGACATGGGTACCTACCATAGTGTTTTTTGTTTAATATGATATAGGTATGTATTGTTTGTGCGCTTGCTGACCGTACAACAATATGATTAATATAGTTTACATATTAATGAGTTAAACATGAGCTGGTGCCTACGTGATTTTTAGCTAATTGCAATTCAAAACAAAACTACCAGTGCCATTGTGATTTCGACAAATTTCGTATAAACAAGCACGATTGAAAATCCGAAAATAAAACCGTCGTTGCCGTACAGTCAGCCATAGGGTACCAATACTTCAGCTGCAGACATGATTATGTGTAATAATATATTTATATTGTATACAGTCGTGATCGACATGATATTAAGCACGGTGGTGAATTATTTATTTGCACAGACACGTTTAAGATCCAAGCACAGATCATAGGTACTGGAGCAGCAGAGTGTAGACTGTAGCACGTAGGTACTGGATACATTTTATCTAGTTTAACCGTGGACCCTCCTAAAAATACTTTGGTTGAAGTCTTAATAGGTGTAATAACTCCTAATAATCGGTCCGTTTTCGAAAAAAATGAATTGCCTTTACCAAACCTCTATCTATAATATTATAATGGTCGTCGATAAAATAATATATAATTAAATATTTACATTAACTAACTACTCTTGAACCTAACCGGCGTATGGTGTCTGAATTAATTATTAGGAGGCATGTAGGAAGTACATAAATAAATATATATTATGATGTAATATACCTCAAACTTGCGAATCACTACAATCCATTCATAAAGGGTCTCTCCATCCTAACTCTTTTTGAAAATCCTAGACGCAGGCTGAAAAATCATGGTGTCGCAACCTTCTTGAAAAAAAAAAGCATAACGATGATGTATATTAACAACAGCTAAAGTGTCATTAATGGGTGGCTTCTTTAATCACGTTTTTCTTATGTTTATCTTTTTTTTCCTTGTTACATGGCTCGCAGATGCTTATTGTGCTAAATTGTACAGATTTCATATTACTTAATAAAATTGAAAAATTATATAAAATTTTTATAATATATAATATAAACAAATTTTGAAAATTTTGCGACAATTGTTCAATGATGAGATCGGTTTTTGGATACACAACTTTTAATTTAATACATTTAATGTTTGATTAATACAACACTCTAAACGGTATATAAATTCACAGGTAATAACCATTTGACACGCAACCCACGCATACCGGCTTTAATGGAAACATATCAACCGTCCAGGCCACGAACCAACCACATGCGCTTAGAAGAACCAATAAGGTCACCCATTTCGGAGGAGGAAAGAGCGGAAAAGATGAATTCTGACCTGGAAAAGATGATACAGTTTATGACAGTACTAGGCCAAATTGACCGGTATCTGTCATCTAGAGCAAAGTCTTTTGTTAACACACTGAGCCGAGCTATGGAAAATAATCCCGACGACTACCACCTTTACAACGACAAAGATATGTAGTCTCTCGAATACTGAGTTGCACTTGTTTTATTTAACTAAACATTATACATTTCATTATTATTTATTTTATCCATTAACTTGTTCATATTTATAAATATGTATTAATTTATTATCAATAAAAATCATAAAATGAATTTTTTTAATTTATCATATGCTCATTTTGTATTTAAATCAGGACAAATTTTTAAAATAACATATTATAGATTAGTAAATATGACACCGGTTTTCAAAATAATAATTTAAAAGAAACTATTGATAAATAACATACTTATGAAAAAAAAAAACATATATTTTGATTCAAAACTAATACAATTGTTATTATTTTTTGTTTGTTTTGAAATTCTATTTTGTTTACATTTACTGAAATTTATTACATATCAACAACAAAATATATGTACACAATTTTTTATATATTTTTTTTTTTTGCAAAAGTGCACTTACTTGCTATAATACTACAAGCATTACAACAGTTCAACTATTCAAAATAACCAGAAAACAAATATAGTATAACATTAAATATTCATTAATTGGTCGCAGTCTCACTCTCTTTGCTCTCGGTCTTACTGCGTTGTCTATTTCTCCAAGCCGTCATATAAGTATGAGGGTGTATGGGTAAGAATCCAGATAAACCTAAAAATAATACAGGTATTTTAATCAAAACAATTAAATTATGGTGTACAGAGTGGTGATTTCGAAATGGAATTTAAAATAGGTATTTTATATAAATATGAATGAATAAAATGACATTGAAAACAAACCTCTCATAATTGCCAAAGTAAAAAATAAAAGAACAACTCTTTTAGAGTATTAAATGTTTATTTGATTTATCGAGAACAGATATTTATAAAGTATAATTTTATTATTAGAATTTCTTTTAACTACATTTTTTACATCAACATTTTTATGTATCCTGAATTACATAACTACGTGTAGAGAGCAAATGTTTATGTTTTTATATATATTTATTAACTTTATGCAGCTCAATGGAAATGATAATGTAGACGACTAATATATAACAGAATTTAAAGAAAACATTTATTTTACATAACAAAGAATATTATGTAAATTAAAGAATATTTAACCTATATTTTAAATTTATTGTTAAAAAAACATCATATTTGTTAATTTCTAAATTTGTTATTATTTTGCCAAGGAAAAAAATAATGTAATTTAAAAATAAAAAAATGATAAAATTCATTTGGTAAATTGTTACAATTAAATTGAAAATTATTTAATTGTTTGAAATTCGGTAAACTTAAATAATTTATTAAAGAAAAGAGTATGTAATAATTACTTTCAAATTAAAGCATATTATTTCATGATGTGCAATTAATGAATGGTAAATATAAATACTATAATCTATAAATTTTAATGTAAAAATATTCTATACTTTATACATAGTACGTCTGATTGTAAATACTGTGTAGATTTTTAAATTATATGAAGTAAAAAAAACATATTTTACCAGTTTAGGAATTATTAAGATAATATTTTTAAGGGTTTTTTTAGAACATATTAGAATCACATTTTAAATTCTTAAGAATTTAAAATTCTGTTCTAATTATTTATGTTTATTAAGAGGTTACAGACAAAAAATATAGATTAATTACTCAAAGAATCTATAATTGACTAAATTTAGTGTATTTATTTTAAGTATTAGTGTTGGTTATAGTTTCAAATTTATTACATTTCTTGTAGTAATTAAAAAAAAAATTATATTTATTGAAAATTTTTGTCACTGAAAATAATTTAAAACTTAATAAATAATGTAAGCATATGTGTTATGCATTTCATTAATGTATATCTGAATTTTTATTATATACTATTTCAAAAATTGTGTATACTTTTTATGACTGTGCTATTGACAATTAAGTCTATACAATACCTAATAATTCAGCAACTGGATTGGTTAGACGTGCTTTTTTTGCCATCCAGTATTTAATCCTTTCCAAATTTAAACTGACTAATTTTTCTCCATGATGGTTTTCCATAGGATCATACGTACCAAGCTGTTCAATTGGGTGGGATTTGCAATCACGTCGTTGCTAAGACACAAATGTTCTAATGTCACAAACAAAATATTTTGAGTTCAAAATTGTTATACTTACCAGTACAACTACGATGTGATAAAAAGGTCTATTTGCACAGCCATATCTAGCCAAGCGTATGGACTTTTTGGCTTTTTCAAAATCATCACCACCGCCACTGGACGGCATCAATTTCTTCAACAATCTATACGCTCTCATTATATTCAACTTTAACAAAATAATATTTTATATTTTTAAGTTATTAAATGAATGTAGATAATGTGTTATTGTATTTGTTTACTGAGAGTTTAAAAATAATTAATACAATCAAACGTAACAGTAGTAATAGTTCTACTAGCATAATCCTTAGAAAAAATAAATATATAATTTACATACAATTAAAAATCATAATAATAAATTATTTTTCCTTTTTTTTTATTTAATATAAGAAATTTACAATTCATATAAATAAACAGCACAATAAGTAAATGCAATATTTGAGGGAAGTAATTAGGAAATTTGAGTGAGGAAGTCACCAAGTGGCAACATTCCTAATTTAAAATTTAAATACTCAAATGTAATAGAGCCTAAATGATTATTATCAATAGTCGTCTAAGACCTAAGTCTAAAGTTGGCCCATTTCTTAGATAATTTTAGGTGTATTAAGAAGTGTAAAAGTGGACTTTTACCTATTTATTTTAAGATAAAATTTTACAGTTCAACCTAAATTGTAAGACCATGCATTCCATACATTTTTATCAAATAATACTTTTTATTGAAATTAAAAATACAATTTAGTTTTCTTCAATATATAATATGTATCATATAATCTACAGTAATTTAATTGTACTTACATTTTAATATATTTGTGTCGTGATATCTATAAATTCTTACAAATTAAGTGTAAACAAAAATATTTTTAAAAACGTTGTAGGTACCTAATTCAGTATTTTAGTAATTACTAATTTACTCGATTTGTTTCAATTTTCTAAAAGTTTTACGAGTTTACGACCGATAACCTAAAACGACGAAAAAGTTGATAAAAATCTAATTTTTTTTGCTTATCTTCCAAGCTTTGTTGATAGTGTCTTATCATACGACTTGTTTGTAGTGTACTATAGTTGTAAATAACTTGTATGTTAGTTACCTAACTAAAATGTCATTTAGTTAACTAATCATATATAAACACAACTCAATTCTGTGAATAGTGTAAATATTGGTATAAACACAAAATTACTATAGTTAAAAGAAGTCATAATTAGTGTTTAGGATTGAAGCTCGTCGAAACTTGGGATATGTGAGTACTGTACTACTGTATATTAATTAATCAGAATTTGATTTCTTCGACATATCGAGTTTAAAACCATTCGTGACTCCGACGATTTAATCCTCAAGTGACATGGAAGCAGTCAAGGTAATTTTTATAATACCATATATTATAATTGACATTTGTATTATGCAAAAAATTATTTCCAGGAAGCGCCGATCCCGGCGATGGATAGCTTGACTGCAGCTATGAAAAACAACATTGTCCCGAATCAAGAGTATTTGTTACAAGGCAGTGTTCTGGATTCAGCCGTTGAAGTTCTGTTGCATAGGTTAAGAGGCCTTTGCGACAACGTTGATTCAGGACCCGAGACATTTCATGACCATGAAATGTGTTTTAGCATAAGTAATGTATCTTTTTCTGTCTTTAAGAGTACATGCTTTGCACTTACTCCATATCATTCTCAATATCATATTTCTTTTAGGGAGTGTTACACCACAACCACTCACATTGAGAGTCAGAAGAGCGATAGACTATTTAGATATGCCATACCAGCTGCGTTACATTGGACAGCCTGAACTTGGTAAAATCCATTTACACTGTATGTCTGTAGACATTTAATAGTAACCAGTTTTCAGGTGATAAATCTAGACCGACAATCTTACGAAACAGTATCGATGTAGCTACAACGCCAACAATAGTAGACTTCCTCACTGAAATGGGATTTCGCATGGATTTTGAATACATTTTACGTGGCTATATGTTTCGGAAAGGCAGAATGAAAATTACAGTGTCTAAAATATTTAAAGTGGGTGATATTTATTTTGTGTTCCTAATGTATTTATTACTATTTAATACTCAATATTTCTTTTAAAGATGATGGTAGTAGGTAAACCTGCTCCAGAGAGTGTCGATCCAATATCACAGTCATACCTAGTAGAATTAAGTGTATTGGCACCTAGTAATCAAGATGCTATTGCTGAAGACATGCGTGTATTTGCTGAACAACTGAAGCCACTGGTGCATTTGGAAAAAGTTGATTACAAACGATTAACACAACCACCAATGTAAAATTGTTAATGTCATGCTTTGTAAATAAATATTTTTTATCAAAGTTTGTTCAGTTTATAAAATATTATAATTTTTCGTTTTCCAACTTTTTTCATCCTCCACATAACGATTTATTATTCATTCTAGAAATAGATCTGTTTGAGGCATATTTATTATAATTTATAAATAATGTTTTAAGCAAAATTTAAATTAATGAGGTATCTAAGGATTATAAATCCTTAAGAATTTTGAATTTCAATACATGTAAAATAAAGTTTTAAAGCTAATGTTTTTATAAAAATGAAAATTAATTTCACATTAATAGATGAAAAATGTACAAGTAAAATAGAGAATTAACATGTCTCAATAAAATACAACTCAATAGTTTATGAAACAAGTATTTTGCTTTATTTTTTTCTAAATAATAATAATAAAAAACTAATTCATAGTATGTTTCTAAAACATTAGACCTTAAAATTAAAGTATTTAGTTAAAAAGAAGAAAAGTATTTGCTAAAATTATTGATAAAAAATTATACAATAATAAAAAAACATTAGTAAAATTATTTATGAAATATAAAAATTAACATGGCTTTTAAATTTTTTTAATATTATATGTAAACATGATATTAAAAAAATTCACTGAGGTTTAACATTTTCTTTTCCTTTGTAGGACATAGAAAACCGTTTCGATACTGGTAAGCCCTAGAAATAAATGTTAAATTATAAAAATTAAAACAGCAAATATTTAACAAATGTAAAAAATAAAGAATTTAGGCAACCAGATATTGGATTGCTGTACTTAAAATGGAGTGGATTACTGTTATAACAGTTAAAATTGAATTCTATGATATAACACTGTACAAACAATTTTGAGCGGAGACGGTCTGTCAAATTATTTGTCTAGAAAAATTTCATATGATTTTTTAATATAGCTATTAGTTATTATTCTTTTTTTTCAAAAATATTGCATTACATTATTATATTATAAACAGGGCTAGAATTTGTATGCAACAGCATGTTATTTTTTACTACGTCAAAATAGAGTTTCAATGAGTAATGACCACATTTATATTATTTTGATGAAAATGGTTTTTTTTTTATTTTACACATTTTTGCATAAATTGAGCTTAACATAGGTGCTTACTTTAAAATTGTAATACAAGGAAAAATAAAAATCGTAAGCTACTGTACAAGGATATTATTCAAATTCTTTTCAATAAAATTATCAAATAGGTACAGTCTATACCAGTTAGATTAGTAAAATGAAACCAGAAAGCTAAAGAAAACAATCAACATTACTTTAATAATTACTATATTACCTAACCTATGGTATTAAAAAAAAAGATGTTATTAAATTTTGTGTTATTTAAGTTGATTTATGGTATAAATATATATTATTGCAATAATTAAATATTAATAATATAATAAATGAGATATTTTTGTAAAAAATCATATCAATATACTATAATACCTAAGTCTAAAAGTAAAATAAATTACTAATATAGCTAAATCAAATGCAAATATCATTTGGTTATAAAGACTGGTGGAATATATTCACTTAGAACCATTTTTAGTATACAATGATATATCATTGAAAAATCTCAAATTAGCTCATCTATAATAATGATCCACTCTACAATTAATATATAGCAATATGATACCCATTTATTTACCTTTTTTTTTCTCATTTACCATAAAAAAAAAAAAAATTATAAGAAGTATTTATTTTTGACTCCTTAAAGTACCAACAAGATTCAATTTGCTACCAAAACCACCCCCATTTTTACTTTCCCAAAAGACAAAAAAACATACATCATTGTAAAATCAATACACTCATTGCTCCACTCATAATTTAAAATAATATTTTATGTGGCATTTGGTATAAACATACCATATACTTACACTTATTTTAGTTGTATTCATCTTAGGTATTCCAATTTTACTTTCAGACTAAAATCAATCATCATAATATTAGGATATAAACAATATTAAATTATGATTAAAAATTAATTCTTACTTTTGACTTATTTAATGTAAATGATCGCAATAGTTCCGGATTTCTTTCATTAACTTTGTTAGACAAAACAATTGTAGTCTACAATTTAAATAATGATTGTTATAAATAAATCTAAAAAAAATAATAAACTAATCATACTTACATTAGTTGAATACTTTTTAATACATTTTGTAACATTTAATGGTGTTCCAGGGCTTACAGAATTGGCTGTTGATCGACGTGATAAACTATTTCTACAAAAAATAAAAACAATTTAATTAAACACCAATATTATTGTTAAAAGCACAAAAGTATTAATACTAGTTTCATATATTTATACATTAAGTAAAATGTTAACATATAAATAAATACGTTTAAATACACATTCACCTTGATTTAATAGAGGACTCGGCAGTTGAGGGAGTTTTAAGTGCAGTGACAATATCTGATGTTGATGGAGTAGAAGAGGCTATAGGCTTCATCTATAGTACAAAACAAGTATTGTTTGAAACATTTTATTTTTTTATTATATCACTTAATATTAAGACATACTAGTTTCTATAATATAAAGCAAGTGATGAAAAAAAAAAAATTATACATTATTAATAAATGTATATTAGAGAGTACAAAATGTGTAAGCAATATTTATGCATATTAAAAAAATAATATTTTTAATAAACAGATATAGACATACTTTACGGGGACTAACAGACCCATGATTGATATCTTTAATTTCTACATTCTTATAATTTTGCACCATGTGTTGAACAGGGACATTGGCCATAAACGGACCTTTGCTTTGAGTTCTTTTATTTTGCATGGACTTCAAAACGGTTCGACTTCCATTAACTTTTGATTCGACAATTCCTGAAACAACAATATAAAAGGAATAATATCAATTAATAAGAGATCGCCATCAATTTATATTTTTTAATAATATCTTAATTGATGTACTAAACTATTAACATGTCTTAAAAAGTAAAATATAATTATTTTGATCAAACCACTACATACCCAAGCGATTAAGAGTTTTTAACTTGAAATCAACTTGATTATTATCAGTCGGTTCAATTTCTGTCATAGAACTTTCCTTTAACAAATAACATTATATAATTAAATACATAATATATAAAATATATACATTATATAAATGTCATGCATTCACTTACTGTTTGAATATCACTAGGTCCGTCACTATCGCTAAAGTTATCCATCACCCATTCAGGTTTCAAAGAATTAAGATCAAATGAGTTTAGTTCATGGAATGGAAATACTAAACTAGAATTTGGAGTTATATTTTCATTTATATCAATATTATTATCCTAAAATTTAGAATTAAAATTATTAAATATTTATTAATTACATTAATATATAAAAGGTAAGTACACAAAGTATTTAAAATGTTCTTTACTTACTGATGTTTTATTAAAACTATTGGAATTTATATTAAAACTCCCTATGAATCCTCTATTTAAAACACTTGAATTTATATTTTTATTTAAATTTGATTCGGTATTACTACGCTGTGGTGTACAAAATAATGATCTTCTGGAATAATTTTCTTCATAAATTTTTTTCTCCTTTTCAATAAGCATTTCAATTCGTTGCCGTGTCTGTTCTCTAATTTGTTTCTTTTCTTGTTCGTTGCAATAAGAATTTTTTTCTATATCTATCTCGATTTGATCTGACAACAAACCTAATTTGTTTGATAGCTCTTCATTTTCTATTTTTTTTTCACCTTTATGAACTAAGATATTATTTTCTATTGACTGATCGATCATTTTCGATGTGCTAATACGTTCTGCTATAGCACAATCATCTTTTGATTGATTTTTTATAAAACCATCTGTGTTGTGCTCTATGTAGTTTTGTTCTAAAAGTTTTGCAACACCATGAATATCTGTTAATGATACACTCTTTTTTATCCGTCTATTGACTTTTGACTCCCATAGAGGACTCAATATGTTACCACAAGGTGGATCTCCTCTTAATGGAGTTTGCTTAGGGACTAAATCAAAAGGATCCATGTTGGCTGCTTGCAATTCCAGTATATCAAATGGGTTATTAATACAATTTTCATCATAAGTTTTGTGTTTCACTGTTTCAGGAGTACTCCAGTCAATAAGAGCATCCATCGAACAGTTAACTAACTGACTAGCTTCATGTGATTCCATAATTCTAAGGACAAAAAATTATATACCAGAAATTATTTTTATAAAAAATACAAAAAAGTAATTTATTAGTTAACTAGTTAGTCACTAAAATATATTTCTACATGATAATGATGAAAAAATAAAAAACAAATCTCTCATTTTGTTTTTTGCCAACTTTATTAGGCATTAGTCTTGATTACAAATTTAAATCAATAATACCTAATATAATTTATACATATTTAAATAATTTTAATGATATATTAAACTATTTTATTTTGTGTACTTATCACTTTTTTATTATGATTATTCAAATAATATCGATCATTTTTAAGCAAGCTTGTGATGGTATTACACTTGTTATATTATAATTTTTATTTGTACATATTGTATTGATGTTATTTATGGGCATTGGGCATTGTTATCTAAGTTTTAAAAGTTAAGATTTTGTTCTGTTAGCATGCTTATGTATTATGACCCTGAACATAGCATATAAAATGTTTGAAAAATGATCAACATCTAAAAATTAGGAATAAAATAGAAATAATAATATAAATGAAAAATATTTATTGTTAGTAATATATTCAATTAAATAGTAATGGTTATCCTCTGTACACTGTTGCTTATAATTGGGAATGGTAACACAGATTTAATGATAGGTTACAATTAATTTAAATAATATAAATTGCATATACATAACTGTAGTTTGTTAGTTATCATTAGATTATTAATCAAAAATTTGTTGTTTTTTTTATCCCACGATTTCTACATAACATATTGCCTAAAATATCAGCCATAAAAACAATGTTAAACTATCTCACGAGTCATAACCATTACATTTGAAAGGCGATTTCATAACAGTGGTCAGCAGATATTAATTTACCCAAACAAGATAGAGATCTATCTATTAATTCGACTTTCATTTAAATACTACAACTAATCAAAAAGACTTGAAGTATTTAGTAAAGATATAACCCTTATAAAGTTACATTGACGACAGTAGCTGGCTAACGAGTGGATTACTATGAGAGGCAATATATTTATAGAATCGTATACAAACCTTGAAATAGACTAGGTATATGCTAATAACGAAGGAGAAACAAATAGGTATGGATAAGTCGTTAACTACACGGCACACACTACTTTGGAACCGAGGTATTTACGTGAAAATTATTAAAAACCGTAAAATATTTAACAATAATATCCAAACAAACGAGCACGATATTATGTAAATTATAAAAAAATATGTTTTTAATATTTATTATTGATTATAAATTAATGTCAGTAGTAAACCCTAGACACTAATCACTATTACTTGGTATTTAAAATTAACATAAATAACGAAATAACGTTTTCCCGATGTTCGGTTAAATGATAAAGCATGTAGATAAGAATTGAAATGGTAACTGGTAACCACGATACAATATTATTATTATGCAGGTCTACACTGCTATAGGCTAAACAAGTAAACCGTAATTACTAACCACTAACCATTCTACACTCAAGACTCAAGACTCAACTACAACGGTTAACGGGAAAACAACTTGTTAACTGTTTTTAGTAATTTTACTTTTTACTAACTATTTTAGTAATTACCGTGGTTGCACCGATATTCAGTATTTTAACATCAGTATTCAGTCTCAACTTTAATATTTAATAGTTAATCGTTATTGAAATTTTCGTTTTTGATATTGCATAATTATTAACTGGTAAAAAAAAAAAAAATAGCATAGGTAAACGAAGTATTTTGTTAATAGTGACCACTAACAGTTAAGTTTAAGTGTTATTGAAGTAAATATGGATACCCAAAAAACATTGGATAGTTTCATTAAGAGTAGAAAAAGACCTACCAACGATGATGGTTTGCTTAAAAAGGAACTTGTGAACAATAGTTTTGGAATAAATAAACCAACTAGAAAATTATCGTTTGATTATACGGTGCAGCAAAAGATTAAAAAGCCAAAGGTTAGTTAACTATTTAACTATATTTCATATTATTAACTATACTAGAATTATGGTTCTTTATTTTAATAGTACCAATTTAATTATTTGTTTTATACTTAGAGATACCTATATTTACAAAATATGACATGATGGACTAAATTATAATGTTTTTTTAAATATAAAATTACTCTAGTAGATGTCTTTTTTTCTTATCAACAAATGTATTTTTATATACTTAAAACGATATTAAAATAAAATAGAATTTTGTGGAAACTATGTTTTCATACAAACACCGTTAATTGAAGTTTGTCATTTTTACGATTTAGAAGATTTACTTAAGGTAGTTTAAATAACAAGTTGATAGTTCTTTTATCAATCTAAACTGTGAACAAACAAGTTAAGTTGCCTTCAAATGACTACAACATTAAAATCTAGTTTATGATAAATTTTTATTTTTACTATCATTTCAGTATTAGTATATAAAAATACATTTGTTATCCCTGTAAAAAAATTAGAAACATCAAACAGAAAAAAAGTATTTTTCCTTTTTTTATAGTAACTATTTAGTATATTTAATATTTATATACTTTAAATTTAAAAACATTTAAATTAGTTATTTTAAAATTATATTGATCATAGTTTATCAATTTAAGATGCATTATTTAATTTTTATTTAATATAGTAAATTTGATTTTTATTTTTTACATGAATTTTAATCATACAAAATAGTTATTTAATTATAAATTTTTAAAATCTAAAATAGCAACATAAAATTCAAATAATTAAATGTTTTAATAATTTTGCAAAATAAAAGCAGCATTCATTCACATCTGTTGGAATTTGATTCTGAGGAGTCTTTAAATCTTCAGTTACAAAAATATTACAATCTTTTGAATATATTAATTAAAATTATAATTAACCACTTCAGTATTTTGGTAGCAAATGACTTGTATCCCATACAAAATGAAACTTCTATAGATATTATTAAAAATAAAAAATCATCAACATAACAGCTTTTTCAGACTTAGATTTTAAAACATATTTAGTTCTAGTTAAGTATCTTGTATCAAAATAATTTATATTTTATTACCAAAACTAATTAGTCTTTACATTGCCTCTATCATATATTTATTTTCTATTTCATTTCATTTTTTTTTTTTTTTTTTTTAGATTGATTCTGGTATAACAAAAACAATTTTTCAAAATAATCTAAACGCTGCTGTAGTTAATAATACAGTTGAAAAAATTTTAGAGAAAAAAGAGGCTGAGACTGAGAACAAAAATGAAATTCATTCAGAAAGAGCTACAACTCCAGATCAAACAGTATCAACTAAAGCCAAATTACGTAAAGTATGTTTATTAACACTAATATTTTTCAAGATTTGATTATTAATTAGGTAGATAATTACATTCGCATTTTATTTTAAAAGTAACATAATTATTATAACTGATAATATTATTAGTTGATTTTTATGAAGTGTGTTATATATTTAACATGTTGACTGCCATGCAGTCACTGGTAGCCACAAGAATATTTATCACTGGGGTATGCCAAGGACATTTTTCAGTGTCATTATAAATTTGTATTTATACTATTGAATTATATATATAAAAACTATGTTTATTACATCAAAAAAATTGCAATTATTCCTACTATATCACAACACATTTTCTAGATCATTATTGTTGCGCCATAGAAAAGTTAATAATATAAATCTAAATTAATTTATGGTAACCTACGGTCATACGGCCTCCTTCAAATGATATGGTGCGGTATTAAAAATTATTGGTGGTCAACATATTAAGATATAAAGCTTAATTTTATTGACCTTAACTGTTGATTATTTAAAAAAAAAAGTTTAATGATACTATAAAATTTATACTTTTTTATCTATACAATTATTATAAGTTTATATTTATTTCAATTGTTTTAGGAATTGGATTTGGGTGAATTTCGCAAAATCGTTCGTCGTAAAATCAATCTTAAAGAATTACAAGAAAAGTTGAGCTCAGTAGAACAATCTCAAATTGATCTTAAATCAGCGGAATCTAAAGTAGAAACTGCCAAAAATCATTACTTATCTTCATTTAAATCAGTCGATCTCTTGGTTGATACCAGCCCAGTAAAAGTTGCATCTAGTTCCATAGCAAAATCTCAGCTTAAACCTACAGCCTTGTTTCTTAGCCCAGCACAATCTATCGTTAGTCCAAGAAAAATGGTGGCCACTCAGCCTAATGAATATATTTCGCCTAAAAAATTATTAAATGAAGTAGGATCTCTTTTGGCTTTTTCGCCATCAAAACGATATGCAGCATTAGTTGATTCTAAAACATTACCTTTGCCTTTGAAGTATCGAATTTTGGATGAATTATTTAAAGCTGTGGAAACTGTTTCATCAATGATGTTTGTTAGAAAAGAAAAAATTACATTTAATAAACTCAAACGTGGCGTGCAGCACATGACTAGAAAGTAATCATTTAAATATTTTTTATTGAAAATGTCATAAATTACTTATAATTATTCAAAATTATATCTATTTATAGAAACTTTACTGAATTGCATTTGGCACAAATTAAAACTGTAGTCCCAGATTTCTTCAAGTTTGCATTAATAAAATCACCAAAAGAAAAATCTAATTATGAATTAGTAATAATTCCAAATTATGGTAAATATTTTGTTTTAGTTATTAATTTTAAATTAAAATTTAATAATTTTGATATTAATTAGGTTTAAATGATGAAGATAACATAGACTTAATTAAATTAACAACTCGAAGAAAAAAAGCATTTTATAATGCACTACTTGACATTATGAAGGAGCATCATGAAGTATGAATTTATAGTAATTATAGCTAATTTAATTTTAAAATAATACTTTTTTTGTTCCAGAAATATTTAAATACATTAATTCCACCTATTGTGATTGACAAAGAAAAAATAACCAGATGGCATCCTGAGTTTGATGTTGAAACCGTTAAAGATATCATTCCTTCAACATTACCTAAAATTGAAATTAAAAAACCAAAAATAGAAACCGCAAAAGACTTATTGGGTAATATTGGATATTTGTTAACAGATACATTTATATTACACGATAAATATTTAATGTATTAATGGTTTTATTTATTTTTAGATAAATCACATGTATTATTTGCTTATAATAATCGTTTGAATCGAACTCTTACTACAATGAACAATGAAAATAAAAGTTTACCTGAAAAAAAATTTCCATCAACAGATGCAAAAAATGCATTAAAAGGAGCACTTAAAGGAATTCCTAAATCATTTTTAAAAAGGGTAATTTTTTGATATTCTTTTTCCACTTTTACATCTATACTTAAATATCTATGTTAAGATTCAAGAAAAGCAAGCACAAAAAGCCAAAGAGTTGATGACACGGTCGGTGGGCCAATTAGATGAAGATAGAATGATGAATAGATTACCTGATATTGCAAGAGGTATGCGTACCTATTTTGTACAACTTCAAAGAAATGTAATGCCATTCAAAAAAGTCATCGATCAATTAAAGCAGAGTTACCCTGAAGCTATGACAGACGGTAATTTTCCTTTTACTGTTTTATAATTTTTTTAGCAAAATTTTTAATCTTATTATTTTAGAGGAATGGAAAGCTCACATAAATCTCCTCCAAGAAAAAGTACCTCACTGGATTGTATCAAAAGTCTTTGATGGAATTGAACATATTCGAATTGATAAAAAAGTTGAATTTGAAGAAACTGTAATTAAAACATTGAACAAATAGTTTTTATTTAACAGACTAAAATTCATCAATAAATTGCTTAATTTTTATTTAATAATAATATATATTTTTTAGTTTCCAACAATTAATTTTAAAAACTATTTTTATCATGAAACGCCTACAATAAAATTATTTTTACAGAATTGTTTAAGAAAAGTAATGTAGTATTTCACTATTATACATTTTAAATTTAATGATAATAAAATTAATATTTTTTTCAAATAAATTTTAACTTTAATATATTTATACTTTAACATAACATATTAAAGTTACTTTGAATTTACTTATCAAACTAATATAACTTAACTTTTTGAAGTTATTATTTAAATAGTTTTTTGTTACTTGTTTCATGATAAATGCAATTTGAATATTATAATTCTTGATGATTTTTAACACAACAATATTTTAATTTCTGTATTGTATAACTCGATGGTGCCCGGCCCATTATAACTTATAAAAATATTCAATACTTAATAAAATAATTATATTCAGTATTTACCATAATATATCATGTATACAATTTTTTACAAGAAATGTTATTCTGTTAATTTATTTCAATTATGTGTTTTATAACCCATATAGTGTGTTAGCTACAGTAGACATTTGATGGAAAATGTATTAGATATTAGATGATATAAGTAATTATTTCATTAATATAAGATAATTAAAAAAAAAAAAACAGTCAAATATTGTAATAGAAGTTTACTCCGAAATAAACAATTGCCTTTTTAATATTTATATTTATTTGACAATTAAATATCTTCAAAGACAGATTTTGATTATTGCTATTTTACTTTAAAATATCTGCTTGTTTAATCCTTGAATTTATATAATGTTTAGTTATTGGTATTCATACTCGCTGTTTAAAAAGGTGGGTGTGTATTAATTTTATTTTTTAATAATTTTATTCGGGACTTCATTTATAGATTACCACTTAATATTGTTAACTTTTTAACACACTCGCACAAAAAAAAAAAAAACAATTTTAAAGAATTGAAAATTACCTTTGCTTTAATCTGAATACAAACATATTTTAAATACATGATTATCATGTATAACTAGTTAACAGAAACAAATAGTAGGTAAGAGAGTTGGGGTCTGGGAAAAATAAAAATACTTCCTCAATTAGTGCATTAGTTGAGAACAATAGTAAAGAGATGCATCAAACATAATGTATCTTTAAAAAAAACTTATGTTTCCCTTGTGCAATTCTCTATATAAAAAGACTGCAATGTACAATTTAATGAGTATAATAACTATTAAAAAGATTTTTCTTGTTAATTAATCAGTGACATGGTATAATAATCACAGATCTATAAAATATTAAAGTACATTGTAATAATGACTGAAAATATTGGTACTAAAACTATAGGTAAATAATGTATATTATAAATATATATTTTACAAAAATATATTTCACAAAATATTACTATAAATGTATCCAATTGTTTTAATTACTTTGAGACGTACTCAGGTACCAGCATGAATTTCAATTATACATTAATTGTGACACATACTTAGTTGATACATTGATTTTTAAAAAGAATCAATTAAATCATATGATTATGTTTAAAACCGAGTATTATTGTGTTGAATTTTGTTTTTTAATTTAATTCGAATAGTTGATTCACCTATTCCGATAATTGCTCTTGAGTAAATATTTCAAATTTAATTTCGTCTAAAAACAATTTATTAACCGGTCACAAGCTTTTATATTAATAATAATTATTTAAATTGATAACATAAAACTTAATCTAGGCATTAAGGAACGAAAACATAACATTAACACGAGCGAATAATGTAACCCTGATATTCAACAATAATAATGCTGAGCTCCTCTGCCATTATATCCTACGATAAACTTTGTTAATTAGACATATTATTTTAAGTGTATTTATTATTGAGGAATGTGTCATAAAACTTTTAGACCAGAGAAAATCCTTGTGTCTGGTGAATGGCTTGAGTCAGCTTATACTTCAGTTTTCCTTTGGATTTATACCTCGGTAAATCTAAAAGGTTGAAACATGTGTGTGCCACTGGTAAGAAGTTATCATCTATGGTGGGTTGGATATAAATCTGAAAAAAATTTAATTATTATTAATTACAACAATAAAGTATACAAAAAATATAAAGTTCTTTTCGGGTTATAATACTACTGCTCAAATACATTTATGTTAGTTCGACTACCATAATACTTGATTAACTATATTTTTAAAAAAAAATCATGTTTTATTAATCTTGTGACAAATGTCTAAACAAATTTTTTGTATTAATAATACTCTTCTGCTTTTTTTTTTTTTAAATACACATTTAAATTCAAAAATGTTGGGTCCCCAATTTATTTTATTCCTAATTTTCATTACAGACATTATGTCATACCAGAAGTATGTACAGTAGTTATTATTGTACATATTTCTCACATGTAATTATTTTTAATCCAACCAAAACTATGACATGTTTATGCAATTTAAAAATACATAAAATATAATTAATAAAGACAATTGACTTTTATTAGCTTGATAGTCATAGCATCATGTAATAATTATGATAAAGGAAAAGTATCAATTATATTACTTACTTTTATTGCTTTCATTCCCATAATAGGTACACGATCGCTTCCTGTTAGAAATAGTAAAAATTTCTTTTTGTGATCAATATCAAACTCATGAAATACCTCCCAAAACATTTTTATTGTTTCATCATCTTTATTGTAACCATTTTTATACTCTGCATTATTCTCCCACTCAATCCAATTATAGTCTTGATTGCCCACGACAACAGCCATTAATTCTTGTGAATGGAATAATCTCAATACTCGCCCACCACACACTTTTAAAAACGCATCTTTAAATACATTAAATTGTTTTTCAACTCTACGATTTAAAATCATATCAACGTACAAATCAACAAATTCATGTCTAAACACAAAATACATAAAAATATAATTTAAATATTAAAAAAAATTACTTATGTTCACTTACTTATTATTTTGATTAACTACTATATTAGATCCATCTGGTTTCAATGGAATTGTTTGAATTTCCCCATAAACTTCTTTAGTTATTTCAAAAGTGAGATTAAATACTTCATCTATATCTGGTTTATTATAAGCCAATAATTCTTCAAAACTCCTGTAAAAATTAAAACATTGATTTTAGTATAATATATATTATAAAACATAATATTAGAGTTAACTTGGTAAGACAATTGTTAATTGTACTATTTGTACTTACCTAACTGTAATTGGATCCAGATCTTTAAGATCTTGAAAAGTAACAGGTTCATTAAGTAGTTTTTTGTACAAAGCTAGAGGAAATGGTAAGTCTATGATAGTAAAATTATAAATCGCTAAACCACACATTAAACCTAAAGGAATATAAATAAATAAATAAATAAATAATGTTTTAAATGTAAAATATAAATAAAAAATGATTATTACCAATAAGATAGTACATTGTAACATCTTCAAAGAAAGAGTCATTAAACCATATCAAGTTTGTTTCTTCATAATTTACAAACATACCAAATTTTGGATCTAAAATTTCTTTGATCAAAAGCATGAAAAATTCTTTTTTTACTCCTCCAGCATCCTCAGCTTCTTCATCAATAAACTTCACCTAATATACACATAAAAATATTTTACCTAGAATTATTTTAAAAATTAGGTTCTCACTTTTAAAGGTTTTTTATAATCATATTGAGTATAAGGAGCCAATTCACGTATAGTATCTGCAACCATATTATCCCGCGAGACATTAAGCTCAATAAATTGATTTGCTAAATTATGCTGATTTCCATCCAAAAAAAGCATTTGTGTAAATGCTCTTGTTGCAGCAGCTTGCATGGCTTGTTGCATCTAAAATTAAATCGTCACAAATTTAATAATGCTCTCTATTTAAATACTTTTGTCAATTTTAATTTACACATACCTGTAATTTCTGATCAACTTGTAAAAGTATTGTTTTAGCTTCAGCATTGAATAAAAAAGGATAATTACAAAAATAAAAATCTTGATGCTAAAAACATTAAAACAATAATTGATTTAAATTAATCAGAAAAATATTTCATACCAATAAATGACAATATGACCTATACTGACTTTAATTCCATTATTATCAGCATGTATCCACCTCATGTAATCAAAACGAATATCTATCTTATCAGCTAATTGGGGAATATAAAATGAAGTGTATGGCACTTTCAATTGGCCTTTCTTCACTTGATTCCCATTTAGATTGGAATTCAATTTATTTAATTTAGCTAATACAGAAGTAGCCACTATCAATGCTTTATCCCAATATGTTTGTTGCTAAAAATAACAGAATAAATTTCTTCATCATATAAAAAAAAAAAAAAATACAATAAAAATATAAATTTTGCATATGATTAAAAATCTTTCCTAAATTAAACAAATTCACGACAAAAGTAAATCATTTTTCATGTAAAAACAAATTTTTGTTTATTAACTATGAAATTATTTTACAAGCAATATATTAACTTAAGCAGTTTTTTTTTAAAAAGCACAATCTTTGGAATATGTTTTCAAAACTAAATTTAAATTAATAAATTTCCTTTAACATTGCGTTTGTTAATAATATGTTAAAGTTTAAAAATATTATTGTAAATTAATGATAAATCTTTTCCCATTAACAGGTCTTAATGAGCAGCCCACTTATTTTAGATCACTTTACTATTAAATCTAAATTATAATGAAAAAAAAAGTTCATCAAAGCAGTATTTTGTAACTAATTTGTTAACACAAAATAATTTTATTTCAAAATTAGTATATTATTTTAAAACTATTAATTTAGATAGATTAAATATCAAATAATAATGTTAGACAACAGACAAGTTACTTAAGATTATTTTAAAGATTCTTAGTACTTACAGCAGAATTTGTATTAGTGTTCAATTGATCAATAAATACATCTTTATATACTGTTAATAAGTTTTCAAAATACATAACTGGCATTGAAGAAATCCATAACTCTGTTAACAAAAATGTATTAATTTAATTATGAAGTATAAATGAT